AAAGTAGATAGCTATCAGAACATTTCACAACCAAACTGTATGTGGGAGAAGGAATTCCACTAAAACAGGCCCCATCGCGCAGCCAAAAGATACTGCACATATATGGGAATCATAACTAGTGATTTAAACAGCAAAGTTACATGTGCTTGGTTTTGTCCATACAAGCTGAATATTTTGTCCAATTTACCACCAAACAACTAAGATTTAACATTTTTAATTACAGTATATTATATTTTTTCATTTCATTATCAAATTTACTCAAATAAAAGGGTCTTTTTTACAAAATACTTAAACAGCCCATATAATGCCGTTTTCTGATCGATGTTATTATGTAGTTTCCGCATTCACACATGTTTAAGACACAAACCCCACATACTGTATTTAGGCTGAGTTCTTCTCTGAACTGGAACACCTTGTAATATCATGTTGTAATACAGGCAGTGCTCCATTGCATTTTTATACTCCATACACCTTCACTAGAAATATTTGGATAATTTCAGCCCTGGAATTGCCAGTCTCCACTAAACCAAAAAAGATAAAAAGTACCTGTTATTCTGAAGTGAAGAGAAAAATAAAGACTCACTTAATAAAACACAATTAAGGGCAGATTTAATTGTGCGAATGCATTAATTAACAATGTTTCTCTCGTGTTTTCAATGTGGTAAAGGCTGCTCTGTCAGTTACACATAGTAAATCATTGCCCGTTGAACTATATTGGGTTTAAAATCAGCAAGTTGTTTTCTTTTTTTTTTGCTTTCTAAACATTTTAACTTCTTTACCCAAATACGGTCATAAAGACGTGTGCTTTTCTTGACTCAGCTGAATGCTTTCCGAGACAACATGAGGTCAGGAGCTGTTCAGTCAAATGAAGGATCTCTGTCTACACTATGTTAAAGTCTTATCTTTAGACTGTTTTGTGGTACACTGTGAGGCTATTTTGTAGGCTTTTCATCATTTATACAAAACACGTGATTCTTGCTTCTCTGGTACAGAAGAACCTAAATTAGATTCAATAAAGCAATCAGGCTTAAAAGCAAAAAGTATGTGCCAAGAGTCCACATAATCTAATACAGGTACTGAGGGATGTCTGTACTCCCAGAAGAACGTATAACACAAACTTGTTGTTTTTCCATTCAGATGTCAAATTACTGCAAATATTATTTTTTTATGAAAGAATTAAACAATCTTGGTGAACAGAAAAATGTCAAAAAGAAAAATATGCCTATCATCTCATACTGCATGGTCCTATCTTAAGTAATGAAGAAAACAAATCAACATGTTTACATTTTTTGCCACAACATGGTGACTGACCGAAGAGATAACACCAAGTATTTCCCAGCAAAGAGCTGCTGTCTTTCATTTCTTAGCTTCCTTAAATAGGCACTAAGCTGCAGCTATCTTTATTTCAATGCATTTAGCCTAATCAAATTTGGAGGTTATGTCACTTATTTAATCTTAGCACCCCCTTTTCAACGATATGCTTTTATACATGTGGAATTACAATTAAAAAAAAAATGTAAATGCTTAAAATAATAGTAAAAAAAAAAAAAAAAAAACACTGAATATTACAGTTTTTTAAAAGGTGCAGTGGCCTGACCTGACTGGTTTAGTCCTGGTTCTGTCTTGGTTCAGTCCTCGTTCAGACCTGATTCAGTCCTGGTAGGGTCCACCACTGGTTTGTATCTGTGGAGATGTTATTGTTTGTTCTACTGCAGTATGGCAATAAATTTATATAACTCCAAGGACAAGTTACAGGTCATATCTGTGAAGAGGCAAAGCTACGATACGATACATACCTCGATACAGTGCACTTTCGATTCGATATGATATATTTCAAATCGATTTGATATGGTTCAAAAAAAAAAAAAGGCTAAATCGTGGCTGTGATACTAAAAGTCTTTGCTAAACCACTTCTTATGCAAAGTTCATATGAAACACAAACATGTTAATCATCAAAACAGTAAAAATGTCAAATGTGTCGCATAAATGATCTTCCTTTCACTCCACAAGCAACAAAACTGTATCACTGTAACTAAATAATTTAGTAAAACACATCTAAAAATACTCTTGGTGAAATATCGATACAGTAGCCCACGATATCGATACTGTATCATCCCATTAAACGATATGATATATCGATATTCCGATATTTTTGCGCACCCCTAATGTGTATGTGTAACTTTTTAGGCAAAGCAATAACATCTCCATAGAGACAAGCAGATGACAGACAACATAAATTACGCAGTGCACCTTTAATGTTTAAACAGATAAAATGCATGTTTTAATTTTGCCACCAAAGGTCACAAGCCAGTGTCCTGCTTCCTAGCCTAAAATGAGTGCAGCTGTAAAACAAAAAAGTAACTAAAATAATGTAAATCAATACACACTGAATGACAGATGATCCTGTAAGTATAATACTGAAAGGAGAGAACATGTGAGCTAAGGGCCTGTTAATGACAAAACCCAATAAACAGACTATTATGTTGTGGCTTAGTGGTTTGTATAGTACTATTAACGACCCATTTTCACTATTATGCACATCTGACAGCAGGTCAACATCTCCCCTCCCCAAACATATGGTCCCGTCCAGACTCCACTATTCAGATTCTATGTGGTTAATGGTAATTGTCTAACACATGAACATATGGTGAAACTAAATAAACGTTAGGCTAGTCTTAGGATCAATCCAGGCTGCAGATCATACATTGGTTCTTTTGTACAAGGAAATCCTCTTATAATAAATAATTTGCATTTAGAAAAAGAGATAAACATGCACTTTATCTAGTCAGAACTACAGGGGCTGAGCAATTTTGGTAATCTGTTTCTGACCCAATGCGTGATGGGATGACTGTTTGTAGAGAAAATAAAAAACTGTTGCCTTTTTAAAATGTGAAATTGTGCTTTCTATTCAATTGCAATTAATCTGAAATATATAGTAAATATAGAAGATAAAGGACAATACTGAAACCAAACCATAGAGCAGAATTATCCCCCAAAACAAAAGTATTCTTAATGTACAATATTGTCCAAAAAACATGTACCGGTACTGCAATAAATAAACAAATAACAGGATGGAACACTTAAGTAGTTAGTTTGAACCTTCAACAGCACAAATCTCATCAAGGTACAGAAAAATAACCAAACTTTTCCCACCAGTGCAAAGTCCCCAGGAAAAAATATTGACCCTGAAAAAGTATTGTTGCATCTGTTATGTACTGAACGAAGTCAATATAGTATTTATTGTGCTAGGCCCAAGTCTGACCACAACGCTCAACCAGCTCTAATCTGGTGATAAAAATTAAACTGTAATCTTGTTCCTGTGAGAATATGCCATTTTGGTAAAATTACCATATTGTGATTCACCACTTTTCTCCTGAATGCAGCTCTGTGCTCAAACAAAGACATTTTTTCCCACCCACAACTCCTATTGGTCAACCACAGCAATGCTTTGAGTGAATGACAGTTGAATTTAACCAACAGCAATGAAGTGTCAATGTCAAAAGAAGCAGCTGACTTTAGTTACCCCTTCCAAGCAATACACAACTTTACATAAATCGTAATAAAATTAAAATCATGATCAGACTAATTCTCAGGACTAAACCAAGATTCACAAACATAACAAAAACAGATGAGAATAAACTGAAAAAAAAAAAAAATCAGCTGGAAGAAGCCAGCGTACCCCCATCCTCCAGTCCAATTCTAGGTCAATAAGTTCACACGCAAAGAATTTTGTAAACGGCTCTGACGCAAATGTGGCAGTGGTGTCAATCTGTAGTGTCAACTTTGGAGGATATTACAGTAACAAGGCAGCAGGAAATGAAAACTAGTACATCTTCTACTTAAGCCGCCCTTGTAGACATGTGCTATGGACTTAAATGACAGACTGTGGTGAACAATGTGGTTTTTCCCAAGCCACAAGAGCATAAACACTGGTCAGAAAAATTTGAGAAAATGAAAGAGCTGAGTGCATGTTTTTGTGTTTAGTAAAAAAATATAAAAGAGGTTTCTCATTTAAAAAAAGATGATCATTTTCAAAACAAAGGGGCTTTTAAAATAAGGGTATTAATGGCTGGCTTTAAGGTGCAACATTTACAAAAATCCACATTAAAACGTATGTGTAGTAATCAATAACATGCTTATTTAACACTATTTTTGTTCCTTTATCAAAATGCTCATTGTCCAGCTTTGTTTACAGGTTGTGGTTTGTGGCTTTTTTGAAAAAGAGTTTAAGCAGATTTATTGTAATATATAAGAGCAAAGAGTGTTATCTAATCTGTTCACAATAACAACAGACGTCAAATTAATGCCAGTAAATACAAAATAAACTACACTTCGCGTTTTGTCAGTTCGATTATGTCACAACAAACAATCACCTTTGGAATTATAAAGAAAGAAAGAAAAAACAAAACAAAACACAGCTTTAATCAGATGTTGATTTAACAAAGATAATCCTTGAGGACTACAGGAACCTGCTTCACAACAGGCTCTTTCATGTAAACAGCCAGAAGGATGAAGCCCCGGGCACCTCAGCCAATTAGCCAGAAAATAATATCATAAAAACACATCTACCCAAACAATAGATCATACTTAGACTATATATAGACGGTGTTATAATTAAAGAAGAACAAAACTGTGATAAGAAATAAAATAAAGGAGATAATAGCTAAATAAATGTGTAATTACGATGATCATCTGTCCTTGTTACATATGGTTGGTGCTCTCGAGGTAAGAAGCGAGAAACGCGATGCTAGCGTTCATTTAAAAGACACATGCGCCTTGTGTTAATCGCATTTTAAAACCTTATTTTTGTCACAGCACAAAGACTGTAACAAAGAACGGAGCACAGCTAAATTGCATTGTAGCTCGTAACAAACCGGTTTCCCGTACATCATCACTAGCGAGCTCTTCATTTTTACAAAAGCCGACGAGAGGAGGGGATGGTCGGGCTGCAAGGGGGGGAGGAAGAGGCGAGAGGAGCCAAGCCGAAAAACACCACTCACCATCGGGGCTTTCTGGTCGTGACACGCCGGTGATAAACGCAGTGTCGGATCGGTGTGTGTGTGGTTGTAGCGGGATTTTCACTCTCTCATTCAGTTTTGCAGAAGGCTTTGTGCCGGTGCCTGGTCTAGTCTTCCCTCCTCCTTTGCTCGTTTGCTTCTCGTTTTTCTTTTTTTTTTTTTTAGTCCGTGAAGGTCTGGCTCGTCATTGGCTCAGCGCTAGTGCTGATACGTTCAAAGGGGGTCGGACAAATCCCAAACGCACCCGCAGGACATCTTAGTATTATTTCTTGCCGTCTCAACAACACACCCAAAGACTTCAGTTGTTTTAGTGCTCAATCAGTCAATCGAGTAGTACAAACGGACGTTGTTTCTTAAGAGCTATTACACTAAATTCAAATAAACTCGCTATCTGAGAATCTAATTAGCTATCATCAATTAACTACTGGTTTAAAAGCGTTACAGGCTGCTAGTAGAGGAAAATTATCAACTGGGAATTCAATTCAAAACCTGACATTGTTTTAGTTACATATAAAACCCCTAGATTGTCATTTTTTTCCTGTTTATAAAAGACTCAATGCAATTTAATAACAGTGTATATTCTTAACTCCTCCTCCAGTTAGTCTTAGTCCAGTTAGACTGAACTCCATTAGCTTTTGAAATGTTAAACAGCCCAAATGGGTCAGTCTGGTGATAAGTCTCAATATATAGGGGGGGATCTATTAAATCTATTAAGTAAAACTATTAAGAGCACAGCCAATGAAAGAACAATGTATAACGGAATCTAAATCCATGCCACAAAGTTTATGTGTTCTGCAATATAATGCCATGATTGTACAAACAGGGTGAATAGCTGAATAGACTTAAAATGCACATCTTGTACTTAGCTTTGAGTTACAAATCATATTAACCAGAAAAAAGAAAGAAAGAAAAAAAACATGTATCCACAATTTACAACTAATGGAGAAATTTTGGTAAAAACACTAACTGAAATATAGAAAGTACAAAATGCATTATCATTCAACAACTGAAGTGTGAAATAACTTACTACTGATGTAGATATCAAACCGAAACAAGAAGCCATTGACAAAGAAATGTTTTTAATCAAAACTTCAATGTGTTGATGATACACACATTAAATATATTTTTTTTTGACAAACAACAAAATGATAAACACCAACACTAAATGCCAGCAGAAGGCACTTCACTAAAACTTGAGCACATAAAAGGAAAAAGATACAGGGTTTTCTTGCTGAATGCAGTCCACTGAAATGGAGTTAATTTACATGTGGGAATTATTAGATGATAAGACGCACTAAGGTCCTTAACAAAAATGCAAAGTTAAAACAGACATAATGACATCCTATTTTTTTTTTTTGAGATTTCTATTGCTTAGACCTATTGATTTGTGTTGACAACAGCTTCAGTGGTGTATGTACAGTGACTGCTCTAAACTGTTTATGTTGATCTCTTTGATAAACTTGGGATAGCCCTGGAGTGATGCGTTCAAGTCCACACGTTCAGTCTGTGGCCTCTTTTGATCATCACTGCTCTGTTGACTCAGACCTGCCCATAATTTTGCATGTCTTATTTTCTTATTTTTTTTCCTCTTCCCTGTATAGGTTGCATTCAAAGTAATGTTGTTACATACTCAAGATGGAGAACAGTGTGGAGTTGTTTTTTTTCCATCAGTTAGTTTTGAGAAGACATAACTGAACAGAAAATCAAATAATGCAAATCCTGTTACCGGTATATTTAACTGAAATTTGTTCCTACTTTCTACTTTGCTTCATATTTTGTCTACTGACCAATCCACACATTGGAATTCATTAATATTTTGACAATATTGTAAAATATTTTTTTCTAATCTTCAGGTCTGGTAACTGCAGAGATATTAACTATAATCCATGAAAAGTACTAACATGGAATTCAAACCTGCCCTCCACCTCAATTCAACCATGTAAATGCAACCGATTTTCTTTTTTTCTTTGTTTATTCCTGTTCACAGTTGTACCTCCTGTTTTAGTTATCCCACCTGCTTTTCCTCTTTTTGGGTGGTTCAGGAACAGCAAAACCATCATCCCTGTCTCCATCTCTGTCACTCCTCCTCTCCTCCCTGTCCCTCCTGCTTCCATCTCCATTTCGACTATCACTATGCCGACTATCGCTATGACGGCTGCTGCTACTGCTGCTGTGCCGATCCCGGTCTCCATGGCGGTCCCTATCCCTGTCACTGTCTCCGTAACGATCCCTGCTACTGTAGCGATCGTCACCATGGCCTCTGTCACTGTGGCGATGGTGACTGTCGCTGTGACGTCCCCGGTCGTCTCCATGGCGCCCACGATCGTCCCCATACCTGTCCCGGGAGCTGTCTTTGGGGGGTGGAGGGGGGTAAAAGGGCTGGGGGCTTGGTTGGACACTGGGTTGGATGTTGGGGATGGAGCTAAGTGTGCCAGCGCTGGTGAAGCCAGACATCTTGGGACTGCTGGCGGCCTCTGTTGGCACAGAGCTGAGGCTGCCCGCGCTGGTCCAGCCTGAGGTACTGCTGGACTTTGTGCTGAGTTTTGGAGCATTACCGGTAGCAGCAACAAAGTGACTCTTGTACTGAGCCTAAAAAGGGAAGAAGGAGAAAGCCAAAGAATTACAAATATAGTAGGGCTGAACAATTTGGAGAAAAAGATCTAAATATGATTTTTCTGAAGTATTGTGTTTAGAGATGTAATACTAAGAATATATAGGTCTAAACTTCAGGTTTAACAAGATTTTTCTATAAAAAGACAGGGTATTTTGTTCTTTGCAGAAGGCATTCTACCATCTCAATAACTGCAGCCATTGCCAACTCAAATTGCCAATTTTGTTCTGATTGTGATTTATTGTGGAGCATGAATATATAGTTTTGATAGACAAAAGACTTGTGTTTTTTTTTAGTTTTTTTTTTTTAGTGCATACCTGGAAAGCCTGTTTCATCGCAGCTATCCGATCTCCCATAGCTCCTGTAGTTGGTTTGCTGTAGCCTTCATAACTACTAGACATGACACTGCTGCTGCTTCCACCACCCTGAAAATAACATAAAAATATAAATATATTTTTCCGTCTGCACTCAGTTTCAGTAAGATTCTATAAATAAATTAAGAAAATATGTGTGTGAATTTGTAGACAAACTTACTGAACTCTCAGCTCCTAGGCCTGGTCTTTCTTTGTAACCAAGACCACCTCCACCAATGTTCAACTTCTTCCCTTTCCCACCCTTAAATCTGGATTTTCTGAACCAGGGATTCTGAAACAAAAAAAAAACAAAAAAAAGGGGATAAAACCAGCAATTATGCAAACGTTTACAATTTGATGTCACTGACTATTTTTACACTCTTACCTGCATGGCTAAATCCATCAACTCCTTGGAGACAGCCTGATTGGCTCCCTCCAGATTTCGTACCAGGTCACCAGCAAATGAAGTGTCCTTGCTGGTGAGAAGAGTGTAAGCCACGCCCTTCTCTCCTGCACGACCCGTTCGACCAATCCTGTGTGTGTGTGTATCAATGTCCCGGGCCACGTCATAGTTCACCACAGTCCGAATAGAGGGGATGTCCAGACCACGAGCTAAGCACAAGAAAGATAAATAATGGTTAATACATGATCATATTATTATAGACTGATCAGGCAAACCTATAATATGTCTACTTTCTGCTGCTGAAGTGGTGAAGTCAGTGTAAAAGTATGAGTATGTAGGAGATGCTTTTGTCTTAATGGTTGATTTGTTTAAAAGGCAGCATAAAAAGGAGATAATGGATTGAAAAGTGCAATATTCTGAACCAGCAATGGTTAATACATGTAGGATATGAGGGCTAGCCTGTGTGACAGATCCAACAACCAGTTCTGAAAGAAGATTTATTGTCAATTTTAAACTCATACCATGTGGTAATTTGAGGAGTAATCATAATTGTTAATGTCAATCATAATTCTACTTTGAAAATACAGACTCAAAACAGTTTTGTTTACATGTAAATATGAAGGTTTTTATTCTACACTCTTCTCTTTTAATGTTCATTTTATGACAATTACTTGTGTTTTGATTTGTTTGTGCTGTGATTTTAATGTCTTTCTTATTCTATAGAACTGTTGCTACTGCTGCTGCCATTTATATTTTATTCTATATTTTTACAAATCTCATAATTTTGGCATTTGAGTAAGTAAAATGTGCTATACCAATAATAATGGATTGGTCATGCCTAAAACTTATGTACAAAAATATTACTGTTTATCTCTGTGTACTCACCTGCTACATCAGTGGCTACCAGAATAGGCAGATTCTTCTTCTTAAAATCAGAAATGACCTTGTTCCTCTCGCTCTGGTCCATGTCACCGTGAAGTAGGCCCAGACTGTAGCCCTCCTGGGTAAGATTTGTGGCCAGTTCTTCAGAGTTCGCTTTCTTTGTGACAAAAATGAGGACTGAGCCCGAGGACGTGAACTCAACCAGCCTCCGTGTCAGCCAGGTCCACTTATCAGAAGGAGTGTGCAACATCTCCACCATTTGAGTAACATCCTCATTAGCCTAAAAACAGAAGAAATATGGGTAAGGATATCAAAATAGATATCTTGAAAATATGCTAAATTAGAAAATCAGTGATCATCTAAAAATATAGTGTAAAAAGCTGCAAAAAGAGTTGATTAAATAACGAACAAACACTTGAGGTGTTAATTTCCAAATAAGGACATGAGGTGATGTTTGTGTTATTTGGTGGTTCATTTCACAGTCTGTTCACTTGTTGTGTCTTGAACCTCAACAAAGACATTTATGGGCAATTTTAAACTGTTGCAAAAATTTTACTTATTGATTATTGTTATCTAAATATAATAGTTTGTTAGAATCACCTACATATAGGGAAAGCATCTATGCTGCGTGTTATTTTAATAAAGTACTTAATATAAGCTTATGCTTCAGGCTAAAACTTTTCAGTCTTCTTGCATTTTAAATATTAAAGTTTATGAAATAATGTCAGAAAGAATATATCCTGTGACCAAAATAAACTAAATTAAACAAGACTTGTTTTTTCAAGTGTGTTAGGAGAATAAACCTGTATTAAAATCATACCTCTCCAATGTCTCCCTGCACAACGCGAATTGGATCTACCAGGATGTCTCTGGCCAGTCTCTCGATCTTCTTCCGAAAAGTAGCACTGAACAGAAGGGCTGTGAAAGACAAAAACAAAAATAGTATTTAGCATCACTGCACTTAAAATAGACTTTTCACAGAGAATGAAAAACTCTTACTTTGTCTGTCTGGACGCACATGGCTGGCAATAGATCTAACCTGGTATTCTAAAAATAATAAGGCACAAATGTTTATTAAAGGGTTAAACACTTTATTTTGGGTGTTAATTATTATTCAAGTAATAACTTACCAAAGCCCATATCAAACATGCGATCAGCCTCATCAAATACCAGATATGTGACCCTCTGTAGAGACGTGGCCTTCTTTTTAACATGGTCGATGAGACGACCCTATTGAGCATGAATATATACATACAGTAGTTATCAACAGCCAAGTTAAATACAAGTTAAACAAATTAGGCCAGTACTTTCTTACCGGAGTGCATACAACTATTTCTGCTCCTTCCTGCAGAGCCTTGGACTGCTCCCACATGCTTCCGCCTCCATAAACTGCCACTGATCGTAATGAGTAGGCTTTCCCAAAACGTTTACACTCTGCGTGAATCTAAGGAAAAGCTTTAATTAGATAATATTTTTCATTTTCTATTTTCATGCTCTGAGGACAAGAAAACACTTCCATTTGGCCTGTTTGTAATTACTACATGAACTCAAAATTATTGTTGAATGTTAATATTAAGTAACTTTTTTTTAAATTGTATTTAGCTTCTTCCTTTTTGAACTCTAAAATGTGAGATTCATAGACTGAATAATAAATGTGGCAGTTATATAAACACAACAAAGTACTAGAGTGTACAAAAGTTTGCATTACTTATTTATAGCAGCTCGTTTTATTTAGGAAATGGTTCATTTAGAAAAGTTTACAGCAATTACCATTCCTTAGGCTTATTATACCAAAGACATACAGTGGCCTTTCTTTTTCTGTTTTTTTTTTTTTTTTTGCTTCTGACACATTTCAAAATGTGTTATCTTGACAGGCCTACTTCCCATAGTCTAAATTACCTGCTGACAAAGCTCTCTTGTTGGGCAGACGATGACTGCAATGGGACCCTCGCCAGGCTCTAGCTCCTTCTGGTCCATAATATGAACCAACATCGGCCAAATGAAGGCTGCTGTTTTTCCACTGCCAGTTTTTGCAATACCAATCATGTCACGGCCAGACAATGCAATGGGTACGCCCTTGATAAATAACAAAAGTGAGAGAAAGGAAACCATTGTTCAATTCTTCAATCAATATATTTCAAACCGTTGCAATTATTTTTTCAACAAACACTTTTTATACCTGGCACTGAATTGGCGTTGGTTGTGTGTATTCAGATTTACGAATTTGGTGCATCAGCTGTTCATCAAAGCTAAAATGGGCAAAGCTAGTGCACGGCTTTGGAGGGGCTGCTCCAGAAACCTGAATCAACAAAAAGGTGTTATTCAAAGAAAAAACATTATGTGAATACAACCATCTTTGAAAATTCTGTTTACTTACCCTCAAATTCAGTTTTTGTCCTGAGCTCTATAACCTGCATTCCAGTCAGGGTACTAAGCTCCTCATGTTCTTGATAAAAGTTTTTCTCAAACGGAGGATAATCGATCTGTTTATGAAAATGTATGTCAATAAAACACATTCACATGTCCAATAGTTACTCTCATCTTTATTTAGTTCATTAGCTGTACCTCTGAGTGGTCAATGGGTGGAAGAGGCATGATGATTTTCTTAGTGGTAGAGGGAATTGGGTTTCCATCACTGTCATAGTCAATATTTTCCTCCTCTTCCTCCTGTGTTAGCCCTGCGGTTGGATTCTCTGCCATGTAACGGAAATAAGCTTCCTGCAGAGAGCAAAGTCAATTGTGTTACAGCAGATCCAATCATATTAACAAATGCTTCCAAAAATAAAAACATTTAAAACATCAGCTGTAAAGGTCAATCTTGAAACAACTGACCAAAAACTCAACATACTCTTTCAAGCTGGAGTACCTGTCTTCTAAAAGAGTAAAGTTTTGCAGTCTGTATCATAATTATAAAAAGAGTCCAATTTATTGCAATGTTATAGGATGTGACAAGGCTTAGCTAAGATGGTCCTCTGTGTTTTACCATCAGAAAATGCACTAATGTGGATACTAAGGATGAGCCAGGAACAACTTAAAATAGGATGTACCTACTTCCACCATTCATTGTGTGAAACTTAGGTACTCCAACTTTATTACACAGAGCATATTGTCTTATGGATTATTGGATATACAATACAGATTGATGGCAATGCAACCTGCAGAAATAACATGGAAAGAATACATGATATGAAGACATCCCTGGCCAGCAATAATACTTCAAGGCTATGGACTGTGGAGATTTCACTCACTTGTTCATCCTCCTCTTCAATGTCATCACGAATACCCCTGAAAAGAGAAGCGGAGAAAAAAAACTTCCCTGCGGCTTGTTCACACACCCACATCACCCCCCTTATCCCGATAAAAAGCCATTCACTTACCTGATATGGTAAAATACAGGATAAAAGTAAGGCACACAACCTATTTTAATTTAATAAACTAATGTGCAAAAGATGTCTTACTTGTCAGGGTTCTCTTTCTCCTTTTCCTCCAGTTTCTTCATATCTCTTGCAGCTTGGCTCTAAGCAAACAAAACAGCATAAATTATCAATGAGCACATATCAAATACATTTTAAGTTTATAAGTATATTTCTCTCTTATCACCTCAACTTCTGCCATAAATGCATCCAAAGGGTCATCTTCGCTGTCTGAACCCCCACCAGACTTCATCTGTTGGCGTGTGGGAGAGTTCTCTGCTGGGATATAGGGCAGATCCACATTGTTGCCGGCCTCCTCTTCATCATCTTCAAAATAGCTTTTAAATAACAATTATCATGATGAGTAACCAATTTATGTTCAGACGTCATTTCAGATTAAGATTAATAAACTGGTACTTACGCATTTTCCTCATCAAAGTTGGCTCGTTTAGTTCCTATTTTGTAGAAGGATGGCATCTGCTGGTTTTTGCCATATCCTCCACCAGATCCTGAACCCCCAAATGATGTGTGAGATTTGTGTGGAAGTTGAGGTTCGTCTTTTTTACCTCCAAGGACAAATCCTCCAAACCCAAACCCTCGCTTGACACCTTGGCCGCCCTTGTTCCAGTTCATTGTGCTCTAAAAGAACCAAGATGAGGAAATTTATGCACGTGTCACATACACAGTATAAATATATACATTAAAATAGAGTAACTCGTTAGCCATTACACCCCAAACAACAACGTACTGTACATTACAATCACAATTGCATGTGGGTCCTGTAGTGTAACTCACACAGGTGCAAGTGTGACATATAATAATATATTTGCACATATAAACAGCAGCCTATACAACAATCGCATTTAATTTTTAGCAGCGTCTTAAGGCATATCTGAACTAAACATTAATTCGTTGATAACGCTGTAATGCAGAGTAACTATACTATATAACACTTTCGATAGGATTATTTGACTAGCATTATTATAGTTATACATGTCGATCATTATAGCTTTAGCATTAGCTACAAGGCCGTAAACGAGACTCGGGTGAAGCTGTAGAATCGACATATTGCGAATAACTAGCTGTTTGGTTGTGACTGGAGCAGTGCCAGTGCCTATGCCGTTGATACAGAATCCATCTTTACTTGTGATTTAAGTGAATATTGAACAAAAACCTTTTTCTGGCGGCGGCGGTCTCTGTATTTTCTGAGATGATGGTCGTCCACGTCATCAAAACGCGCCAAAAATGTGTGGGCTTGTCGTTAATTTTCCGCGACGCAAATGTAGCTGTGCTTTTTTCCTAACGAAAGATGTCAACAAAACACTCCACTGAGAAAGATGTTTTCATCAAGTAAATTCCCTGAATATGCTATTCTGTTTGGCTTGCTGTTATAATCACAAAAGAGAAAAGGTAGGGGACTTCACCGTGAACCGCTGTGATCTTTATTGTCATCATAGGACTTGGCTAACGGTATTGCACGTTAGCGAACCATTAGCGAAGGCTTAGCAGCAGCTAAATGTCAGTAATTCAATGAAATCAGCATTTATCTGCAGCTCTTATGCATATATACATGTACCAAATCTCTGTGAAAGTTGGAGGGAATTGCTTGCATTTAACGCTAGGCACTTTTAGGAATCTCCATCATTGTGTCTTAGTTTTCTTTAATCTCAGAGAGATTATTCATGGGAATGATTTTTATAATGGTGTCATCGTGTTTCTTTTTCATGAATATAGTCATCTCGTGGGTTTCAACGTTATAAAGTTTCAAATACAAGAGGACTCAATGTCGTTTCTTGTAAGTTATTTTCATTGAGTTTTGTGTGCACTTTTTGTTCTGTTGCTTATGCCCGTTTTCTTCTCTTTTTCTTTTCTCTTCCATTCCTCTGATTGCTCTTTTTCTGTCAGCGCTGGGTTACTGAGAAATTGAGTGTGGAGAGCCTGTGGGATTTGGAGTTTTTTGGAGGTGAGAACCCAAAGCAAAAATCAGGCTGTAATAATTTAAAAAAAATCACTATTAAAGTAATTTACATTACTAGTGTTTTTGTCATTGCTTTAATTTGCTTTCATTAAAGTATCAAATCTATTTTCTGAACAAGGTTCATGCATTTGCCGCAGCGACATGCTTCTGCTATGAGCCTTTATGAGCTTGTTTTGAAAATGTTTGTGGGATTTTTTGGGTGGGGTGTTTTAAGTACAAATAGATGATTCTTGATGCAACTATTTTTTGTATCTCAGTGATAAAATAAAACATGTTGTTTTTTTATGCCTGAAATTATATTTTTCTTTCTAAAACCATTGTATTTCCAAGTACATTTTTTATTAAACATTCCTCCATATTTTAAATGGCTGTTCACAATCCTGCATGCCTGCTTTTTTGCATTTCATTCATATCTGAAGAACAACCAGCAGCTCTGAGCCAGATTTTACTTGCTTTTTATTTAGCATTTTTTGTTGTTTTCAGTCATGGTTGGAGTTCACCAAAATTCTGTATAAAAGCTTATTTTACTTATTATCATTTATTGTTGACCCACTCTGGCCTGTGGCGGCCATGCCCTGAGCTGCTACAAACACAGACCCTCTTCTCTTTTGTTCATGTCTTTATGTCATTGACATCGTTTCTCTGCCCCAGAGCAAGCTCAGGGACTCTCTCACAGGAAAGTAAGTGTGGTACTCCTGTCACTGCATCTCCATGTCCAACCTGCCTTTGTGTGTGTGCGTGCGAGCATGTGTGTGCACACAGACCAGTGTCACTCAAGGCTCTGCACTAAATGCATGCATGAGCAATCATTCCATGACACTGACCCGTTCAGAAAGCCACCCCACCTCACTACCAGCGCACCGGGACAGAGTACAGTCAGTGCATTGAATAAATTATAGAGTGATTGTAATCTCTGAGCTCATTTTTAGCTGTCTTTTGAATAATAGTTTCAATGTTTTAAGCTGTTGTAACAACACACTTTTGTACACATTGTAGCCTGCTTTACTAGCTGTGCAGTTAAAATCTTGCTTTGTTTAACAGGGTTTGATGTTGTTCTCCCACTCAACCTTCTCTTAGATGTTTGGTGTTGTTTTATGTGGGTTTGGTGACAGCTGCTGTTCAGTCGACAGTATGACTGGTTTCCTGTGTCTCTGTGAATCTCTGCAGGCTGATGGATGCAGATGGATAAACTGCCATGTGTCAGCTTTAGCAATGCATGGCCATTCTTTTCTGTATCTGATCAAAATGGCAGCCCACAAGCCATTTGATTGGATCTAAGAAATGATAACTGCCAGAGCATGAATAGACTTATTGTTACATTTTGCCCAGTTTGTGCAAAAAAATGTAAATAACTTGATCTTACTGAGGTCATCTGAGGCTTTTGCTCTCATTCACTTCCTGCCCACAGTCACCATGGAAACAGATCAGCTAGTCATGTGACATGCTTTATTTTGTATTCACTGCCAATTAGTCGCCATTTCCATCATTTAGACTCAGGAGTCCTCACTGTAAACAATATTAATACAACACTGTTATTAAATATATAAACATGCTATTCAGTTGATACATTTACAAAGAGTACAGTAGAGTTCTGATTTGATCACAAAAACAAATTGATTGCCATTGCCAATGGAAACAAAAGTAATTCAGAGTAACTGAAGTATTAATTTCTAGAACTACTACAGTAATTTGCCAGTCCATTCATATTGCTGGTGTGTGTCTGTCTTAGGCCGATGAGGACAGTGCGGAGAGTCTGACCTCGCTGCCGCGCCGGGACACCATGGGCAGCTTTCTCCCCGACAGTAGCGCCTACGAGCCCCTCACTGTCATCGGTAACACCCCCACCTGCACCTGACTACACATAAGGAACATGGGGCTGCTTTAGCATAAACAATAAACTGCAGTTATCATCTATATATAGTGTCTACAGTCAGGAATATAATAAAAGAACAAGAAAGCCAATGTGTAATGTGGTTTAGATTTGAACAGTTAAGAAGAAAGGAAAATGATAAGCAAACATATACTCTGTACTGGTGCAAGTATTTAAATGATACCTGATTGATTCTTTGTTCATCATTTATACTACATTAATCATAATCTCTGTATCCATTAAGCAGCTTGTTTAAAAAAAAAAAATAAATGTAATGCCACCAGGCATCAAAATGTCTTAAAACATATCACAACCAACATAACTTAATTAGACACCATTGGTTGTTTGAAGGTCCTATATCACTCAGCATTGACTCTTGTGTTTAAGTCATGTTGGAATGTTGTTACCTCCTCAAAAATATACCTGGAGTTGTTTTTTCACACATGTCTGAGTAACACTTTTATTATTATGTCTACATCTCAAAAGCTCAAAATGTTCTGTTCCACCTTGTGATGTTATGCAGAGGTTCTCCAGCAGCTATCTTTTATCTTTAGTTCAATGGAGATTGGCAACTTCAGGGCCAAAATCATCCAAATGATTCTAGTGAAGGTATATGGAGTTTAAAAGCACAGTGGAGTACTTCCTGTATAACCACATGACATCATCAGTCAGAATTAGGGCGTTTTAGGTTTGAGAAAAGTACTAGCCTAAATATGCAGGATTTGATTGTTAAACATGTGTGGATGAAACAAAACACAACTCCAGGTAGATTTTTGATAAGGAAACATTATAATATAGATCAGAAAATACTGTAATATGGGCACTTTAAATAGATGTTTTGGGTTAAAGGTCACGGTCTGGATCAGCTGATGACAGTAAACTTAGCTCGGTACAGACCCACAGGGGAACATGTGGCCATACGACGCATTGACCTGGAGTCCTGCACTAATGACATGGTCACATACCTGCAGGTTTGTATCGACTCCATTTCTCCCCTGAGAAATCAATACAGAACTGAGCATTGTTGTGTGGTATTTCTAAAAATATACCTTTTCTCTACCACAGGGTGAACTGCATGTGTCCAAGTTGTTCCACCATCCCAGTATTCTCCCTTATAAGAGTATTTTTATAGCTGAAAATGAGCTGTGGGTCATCACACCCTTCATGGCTTATGGTAAAAAAAACATTTGAATAATCTGCCTTAATAACTTGTAATAAATACTATATTTGTATTTACTTCAGTGTAATTACTTTCAGGCTCAGCAAGAGACCTCATCTGCTCCCACTTTACTGATGGTATGGGGGAGCTGACTATTGCATATATTTTATTGGGGATGCTTAAAGCTCTAGAGTACATCCACCACATGGGATATGTTCATAGGTGAGCGCACACTGTCCCTTCTGTTATCAGTAACAAGCTGTCACAATAATTACTTCATCAGGTTAATATTTTAGGTTTTTATGTAGCTTTTATGTTCTCTAAAGGAGAAGTACCACTTGTGTTTTGTTGTAGAGGGTGAAATCATGAACAGTGTGACTGGGCCTCATTAGTACTAACAAATTGGTTTAAAGCTTGCTATTTCTTGCAACTTAAGTTTCATTTATTTACAATTCAGAAAATGGTTTACTGAAATTATAAGGCTGTGGGTTTTGTTTGTGATGATGTGGTCTCCAATAATATTGTGTATTCCAGTAGCTTATAGCTCATAGTTCAAAATGTGTTCTTGTAACTTGCCCGGTTACTGATGCTTTGACAGTTGTTGATTCACACTGTTGCTTGTGTAGGAGTGTGAAGGCCAGCCATGTGCTGATCTCAGCAGATGGGCAGGTCTGTATGTCTGGCCTGCGCAGTATTTTCAGTCTGATACGTCATGGACAAAGGGTCAGGGTGGTCCACGACTTCCCCCAGTACAGCATCAAAGTCCTGCCCTGGCTCTCCCCCGAAGTGCTACAGCAGGTATGTTTAGACACAGCATTTCTTTTTATAGGTCATAATTACAGATGGAAGGCAGAGGTCATTATAACTCTATGGGTGATTCACCGTTACTGAAAGAAATAACTAAACATTAAATCTACATATTTTTACCTGAATCATTATTTGTCAGAAATTGGGTCCAGAACACAGAAGCCAAATGTCTTTTTAACCGACAATGACACCACTGTAACTGAAAAATGCCCCCATCAAGTTGTTGTGAGAAGATGATTAATCTTAGTTCATTTGTGTTTATTTTATTACAGAACCTTGAGGGCTATGACTCCCGGTCAGACATTTACAGCCTGGGTATCACAGCATGTGAACTAGCCAATGGACATGTTCCCTTTAAAGACATGCCTCCCACACAGGTACGAAACACTGTAGTTACAAAACTAAATGATAACCTTGAGGTGCCCTATGTAACTGTTGTTGTGGTGGCGAAGCTTGTTTGGAATGTTCCACAGTATGGCATAAACCTATTAGTCACCACAAGAAGGTATCCAAGGCAACCATCTTACTGATCTGTATAAAGGCAACCCGCTCATAGTAAGAAGAATGCAATAGAAAGAGAAAAACACTATTTAATAAAAAAAGACATTTAATTCCATACTGTAGAACATTCCAGGCAAATCAATAACATCTCAACAGAAATGTTTTACAGTTCAATAGATGGATAGATGAATAGATGGAAGGATGGATATTTTATTATCATGAAGGAAATTCATGAAATGTAATCTATACTATTTACTGAACTATTAACTTTTTATGACTTGTAGATGTTATTAGAAAAGCTGAATGGTACAGTGCCCTGTTTGTTGGACACCACTACGATCCCACCTGAGGAGCTCTCCATGAAGCCTTCGCGCTCAGGGGCTGACTCTGGCATCTGTGAGGGTCCTGGAGCTGGACGCCACTCAAACGGAGACCATGCTTCCACCTCAGCAGGGCACCCCTACAACCGCACCTTCTCCCCTCACTTCCACTCTTTTGTGGAGATGTGTTTACAGCGTGACCCAGAGAAAAGGTTAGACACTGAGGTCACTTACACAGGGGAAAAGAAATGTATAATTATGACGATGTTTTATTTCTTCCCACAGGCCATCTGCCACCACTCTGTTAGGACATCCTTTCTTCAAACAGGTTGGTGCAAGTATGTCTCTACTGGGGATCATGGGAAACAAGTAGCGCTCTGCATATACGAAATGCATAAGAGCACATGTATTTTCATGACACAACCCCAACAAACATTGCTTAGTCCTTTATTTTTCCCTTAAGAGTTAAAAGTAATAATTTATTTGGAGCATGTATTCTGAATGTCTAAGCATGTTTTCACACAAACTCTTAACTAAATGCTGCTTCATGTTTAAATAATTTCTTTTCTCTCAGATCAAGCGGCGTCCCTCGGAGGCCCTCCCAGAGCTCCTGCGCCCCGTGACGCCCATCACCAGTTATGAGCTCCAGACACAGGACTCTCCCTCGGCTCTGGCTAGTCTGGAGTCTGGCCTCAGTCACTTGGACGTGGACGACTGGGATTTCTGACAAAGGACGTTATAGTGGGACCTCACCCATAGGTTACTCATGAACACTTGAAAAGCTGAAATCTTGTTTTGTAACAGTTTTGTTGTAAATAGTACAAATGTAAAGGAGTTGCTGTTTGACGAGTTAAAGCCAGCAGCCAGGTTGCCTCTTGTCTCTTGCACGGCGCTTTTGCTCTATATGCACAGGACTTGCACTGATGGCCTCTGCCCTGTCCCCTGGCGTACCCCTGTTCAGATTGTATTCACTTGAGCCCGCGTAACCAAAAACAGCAGGATCAATCCAGGTTTCTGTCCCAAACTGACCAGTGGGATGCTGCTACTGCAAACTGTTACCTCTTGTCTAGACGGTCAGATCACGAAGGGTTTATACTGGCCCCTGCTGCAGAGGACACGGGTAGCTTTCTGCTTTCTGCAGCTTGTCCAGAGGGAAAATGGCTTCAAATACATGTAGACATCTTTCTTAGACTATGTTACAGTAACTCCACCATTGGCTTTGGTATTCACTGTTATTGAAAAAGATGAAGTTATTTAGCCAATTACTGGTTCTTAAACATTTCCCTCACACCTTCTGTACTAAATGGACCTCACTAACACAAACTCTACTGTCTCTGTCAAGATATGTAGTGACTTGTATTAATAATGGCAATGTATAAACAGCTGATAAACCAGGTGAAAGCTTCAATAACTAGAGCTTAAAGGTGCACTATGTAACTTTTCTGATGATGGTTCTGCCACCTGCTGGTCTTGGTGGAGATGTTACTTACTGCTTTGCTTGGAATGTACACAGCTTGGCATTGAACTCATGCATTTATTCAATTACAGGTGTTTGTTGTCAAAAATACCTTGAAAAACATGTGAGCGGAGACACCTCCACAGATCTGACCTGTAACTCGACCTGGTAGTCAGCTACTTGTCTCCATGGAATTAGATAAGTTTAATGCCAAATTGTGAAACATTTCAGGCAAAGGAAACATACGAGTGGAAGGCCTCCCTTAGAAACAGTTTTTAACTAAAGCTTTTAACTAGAACAAAATAGTCTGGATTTATCCCAGATCTAAATTCAGACAGGACTTCAGAATTTAGATAATGAATTTTAAATAGTACTGTACTATCAGTGCACCAGTTGACCAGTGGTAGTTGGACCACAGTTTAAACACCACAGTGGATAGTTTTTCCTTGGACATAAATCTGGGCTTGATGTTCCTTTATTGTGAATGTTCTATTGGTGCTTGTTTTGTCTGGCTGCATGTAATGTGAGAGCAAAGCAGTGTGTGGCAAATGTTACGTTTATGTAATAAATATTGTTAACTTGAAAGTGCGACACAAACATGGTTAAGTATCTAAAAAATATGTTTATTTAAAGTTTACACAGACACAAACAAAACGCGGAGGTCGTCTAATCTTCCTCTTCTGATGGAGGTTGTTCGGCTAACGCTGCATTGTGTTTTTCCATCTTAGCCATCAACTCTGAAATAAAGGGAAAACGAATTTGAGTTTCAAGTTATTCTAAAAAATATGACCGTATTACTGTGTTTTGTTTTGGGGTTTTTTTTTTTTTTTTTTTGACCTTTTGCTGGGTTGAAGACTCCATTGGTCTGAGTATTACACACGTAGCAGCGCTTGGATTTGCGGTAATGTTGAAGAGCGCAAGCTTCACAAAAATAGTGTTTGCATCTAGAAAATTCATAATAAAAACATTAAAATAATACAAGACAAAGAATAAAATAACTATATAAGTTAAAACAAAAAATAAACATACTTTGTGACAATGGGTTTCTTGAAAGATTCTCTGCAGATGAAGCATTTAAATGGCATATCTTCTTCGTCACTGCTCACCTCATAATTTTCCTCCTCTGTAATTTAAAGAACATAGGATGGTGAAATAATAGTTAAGTATTTTTATAATTTCAAACAAAGCAGTGCGAAATGACACTATGGGCAAACTTAAATGACTTTAACTCACCATTAGCCCCATATCTGCCCTCTTCCAGTTCCCTCTCAATTTGCCAGCCGTGTTTGTAGTCTGACCGATCGTGAAGGAACTTACAGCTGTCTGATGAAGCAAAGACAATATATTAATAATAATTAGGAGTTTTATTTAATTTTGATGTTTTTTTTGTACACACCTCCAAAACCACAGAAGCCAGTCTCTTTGTAGTCCTTGCAAATGTCTGGCTGGTAATCCCACCTAACTGTTGCTCTTAAATGTTCAGGAGCACGAATTGGCCCTTTTCTGTAAGAATAATTAATCTGTAAAGCTCATTTGTATACACAAAGAAATTCAAGGTGTTTTACAGAACTACCGGAGTGTGTTAAATGACAATACACACTGCTTCTACTGATAAAAAACAGGTACTCACCTGACCATTCCAGAGGATGCATTGCCCATGGTTGTGTCTTTTGGTTTAATGAATTTCTGATAATTGTTCATTCCACGGTAAATTTTATCGTCCTCTTTGCCAGATATCTCCTGTTGAGATGAAAATACTATACTAATATTTTTCAAATTTGAAAATAATCTTAAATTACTACCATCTGAAAGTTAACAATTGTAAATTACTGCCCTTTGCATAATTTAAGCTTAAAATCATCTTAACACATTCAGCTTTACATTATTATTTAAGAAAACTGCCATCTTCTCACCTCTTGAATTTTCTGGCTCCTCTCAAAAATAGCTTGCGCATCTTTATCTCTCTCCGTGTCCAGTTGATATGTGGCTGTAGCTCCCATGTCCTCGGGTCCTTCTGGTTTCTTTAAAAAATATAAGACTGAATCAATACAAAAGAATAACCTCAAGACATAGGGCTAACATATTAACAGGAGTTTGTGTAGATATATATTACAGGTGCACTATGTAACTTTTCTGGATTTACTTATTTTAATTTAATTGTTTAGATACACAAACATAGATTAACAATTCAGTAATATGATGCAGGTATCACAGTGTTTACATCCAAGGCTAATTCGCAACACCAGTCCCCAGAAGGGCTTTTGAAACGGTTCACTTAGAAACAGTGGGATTATTGGTAGAAAAAACAATAAATACAGTGAATGTATCAAGAGAATCAAATATTAAAATACCACAAACATCGAAATTCAGACACTTACATTTCATTTCACTCATCTTCCTCCCTTATGGATGAGCATAAAGATTGTGTCTATGGAAATCATTGCTTTGCCTGGAATGGTATGATCATAAATGCAAGACAATGCTATCATGTGGACCATTCTAGACAAAGCTATGTAATCCCAAGACAAGCATAAAAGTATTATTACAGGAACAGTAAATAGTCAATACTCACTGCTGATCGTGAGGACTTATAAGCGACTGTGACTTTTCCTTCTTTCTCCTCATCACTGTCACTGGACATTGCAATTTTCTTCTCAGTTTTTTTAGTCTAGACAAATAAGATAGAGAGAGAGACTGTATTGATCCTGAGGGAAATTCAAGTTTTACTGCAGTAATCTGTTGCAGTTGATATATACTGCACATCTCAGTCCCCTTTGTGTCTCAGTCAAAGGTTTTAGTGCAGTTTAACAGAAGGACTGGTCAGGTAGGGTCACCAGATCCTGTGGAAGAACCAAAAGTGTCCCTTCTCTGTGTCCTGCAGCATCACAGCAGCACTCCATGGACACGGGAAAATTATATTATGTCAATACTAAATACATTTAAATTACTTAAAGAGCAGTTTTTACAGCTTACCTTTTGAATCATGGGGTTGGCTTTGCCCTCCTTTCTGTCTCTCCTGACCACTGCACTCTCCTCTTCATCGCTACTGCCCTCTAAACACACAATATATATAATGTAATTTAATAATAATGTAATAATAATGACTTCAGTTAGACTTGATAGTGATATTAATTTGTATTGTGCTAATGCCAAAAATACACAAATTATTACTTTCAAACTGGCACTGAACTCACCACTAGAAGAAGATAGAAATCAGTGGCTATGTTTACATGCACAACAAAATCTGATTATTAACTGATTTCAAGATCTAAATGACAGGACATGACAAGGCAAACCTGATTTAAGTAATGAGAGGGAGCATGATCGGAACGAAATACGAAGATTTTGTTTGTCATTTCAATGTCATTTAATAAGGTCATTTTAATAATCCTATAACTTAAAAAATTAAAATAAAAAATCCGATTATTATTTTGAGTGTGCACGTAACCGCTGCCACTGACACAATAACATACAGCTTCACTATGTGTTTACAATAATTAGACTTAGATCTTCACATGTTATGGCTAAAATACTAAATATATGATAAATATTTGCAAACTTATATATTATACAGGCCTTTTTTGGATAAGTGTACATAGCTGGGGAACGAGTACTCAACGCAGCAGAAATGATGCATGATGAAAACCTGTACTCACTGCGCTAAGAACCAGAACTGCACGTAAAAGGTAAATTATTTGTATACCTTCCTTTTCACTGTCGCTCGCCTTTCTCTTTCGCCCGGAGAACTTCTTGGTGGATTTTTTGAACAAAAAAGTGCATGAACCTGCTTTAGGCTCCTCAGACTCCGCCATCTTTGTTTAGGATGAAAACAATCGAGACAGCAACAGCACCCTCTAGCGTTTTGGAGCTAAATACTAATACAATAAAATACTTGATACAAACCTTTCATTTTATGCCTGCATACGGTTTATTGTTTATAAAATAGAAAATATGTTATTGTAATAACCTCATCTATATCCCATTTGCGCGCAGCCAATCAATGCCAAATTATCAAAAACAAAACAAAATGTACTAAATTAAAAGTCCTATTTGTATTTAAAGTTCATTAGAACACGAAAATGATGTGTTTTAATGCATTTTAACAGCAAATAAAACTGTCTCAAATCAGTTATTTAAATAGATCCATGACAACAATGTGCTTTTATTGTGAAAGGGTAAACCGGATGGCGATGATTTCTCTCCTCCACTGCTGCGCTCTGGTCCTCCAAGTAGCCGCAGCTCCATCGTCAGCATCCGCGGAGGACAGCGGGTGTTTGGAGGACACCGAGCCGCGGAGGGAGGGGTCCTGGCCCGGGCACCGATCCCCCACAAGGCCCCAGGGCCGCTGCTGCTGCTGCTGCTCATGTATGGATGGAGTCGGGCGGCATTCACACAGCAATGGCTATGGGTCTGACATCCAAAAAGGCGTCTGCTCGGAGCGTCTGCGTGGAGCGGAAAAACCTCATCACGGTGTGCAGGTAAAGACATCACGACACGGGCTACATCTATAGACATGCCCGTACATTCACCCCATTTAATTTTACCTACAATCGAGACTAGGATTATTTACTGCATACATAAAGCAGTCCTCAAGGTCAGTAAAATTCAATATATGTAGCATGCTCGTAAAAAACCTGAGCAGAGCATACTGGTAATACCAAGGAATGAATGAAAGATCCTATTTAACTGTGAAAGGAAAATTATTGTCAATGCTATTTAGGTCTGCCTTATCATTCAGAGTATTTTAATATGCACAAAATGCAAATTAAAATGTAAACATTGTTATTTGATCAGAAATGAATGAGATTTGTTGATAATTATGTTAGAGTAGCTAGTCCAACAATAAATGCAGGTTTTGCTTTCTATCTCATTGTGGGACAAGGACGTTTAGTGCAGCTCAAGGACTCCTGCCTCCTCCAGTATCCCCTCAGTCTGTACTGATCAGATGATGGACAGGGAAGAAATACACTCCCTCCTTTCACTCCACTGATCAGGTCAACATAATTTATTCTGGCTTTCCATGATTTGAATACCCCATCGTAGCTTTACAGTACAACAGACCATAGTAAGATTTGCCTACTGTATCTTGAGTGAATAAGATATGGTGAACATGCTTTCTACTTAAACTTGAATTAATAATTACTACTTTTTTTTTTTTTTTTTTACCTTGGACACATCACCAGGTAGGCTAAATTCTTGAGGTGTTGTGAGGTCAGATTTGGGGTAGCCTATATGTTTACTGATTAATGTTATTTATAAGTATAGCTCAGCTTTCTATTTGTTGTTAAAATGAAAGTGCTTTCTTATAACTATCTTTCTCTTTCATTGCTCTTTTTCTGTTGTTTATTTTGAATGTACTTTTTTCCCCTCATCTTTTTTTAGCCTGAGAAAATTTGTGGCTTATGATAGCTGGCTACACTGAAGGTACATAAATTATTTTGTATTGATAAAATGCCAAATTACAAGTGGAATATAGCAGTATCTTTCTTAAAGCACCTATATTATGTTGTAGTGTTGTTTCCTCATCACAGACATACCTGGAGAGGTGTTTTGCTTCATTCACTCAAACCCTGCATATTTAGATTGAGTTCTTCTCTCAAACTGAAAACATGCTGTTCCACCGTGCAAAGTCATGAGGTAATATAGAAAGCGCTCCTTTGTGTTTTTAAACTTCGTCTTCTCTCGAATCATTGAATAATTTTAGCCCTGGAATTGCCAGTCTCTACTGAATAAAAAGTTAAAGGTAGCTCTGAACTTGAAAACTACCACTAGATGACATGAAATGTGGAACAGCATTTTGAGCTTTGTAGATATAGACAGACAAATAACAAACGTGTGGAGAAAACAAAACACAACTTTGGGTATGTTTTTGATGATGTAACATTCTAACATGGCTTAAAGCTCTCAAGACTCAATTCCTGCATAATATAGGACCTTTAAACTATTATCTCCACTGTTCAAAATTATACCAAGGTACTTCGTAAAGGTTGTGTGAAGATGTTTTATTGTGAATATAGAGTTCAGACATAGTGTAGAGTTATAGCTTTGCCTTGATAGTTTAACTGTGTCCTTCTGGGATTTATTACAGCATTACAGGGGGACTGCAAATTGATTCAAGACATAAACCCTTTTGCTGTCCAACTATTGAATAATTTGGTGATGGAAAGCCCTTATTTGCAGACATGTACAATATGCTTTATGTTATCGGCAGTAGACAAGAAAGAAATACACAACCAAGCAAGAGTTTTTATTCACATGCATATCAAACACACTAGGCATGCAGAAAAAGAAATAAAACCTGACAGTGGACTTTGACATAAATAAGATTATAACATATACAAAATGACTATTGTGTACTTTAGCCTGTCCAATTGGATAAGACTGTTTTAATATTTTAGGTATTTAATTGACCCACACAAATGACAAAGACACAACTAAAATTTCAAACTGCTTACTTACTTACGTTTTCTTTCTACTTTCTTATACGATCAAACTACGTGAATTAATGGAAAGAAAGCTTGTTGCCAGCGGTACATCTCCTCTTGTGTTCTTGTTGACATTGTTGATTTCAGTTTATCAATTTATAATTTTTTCATCTATTTTTGAATGACATGGAGACATAGCGTTTTTCCCTGTCTGGCTAAGCTGACATTAGTGATTTATTAGTGGATCAGACCAAGCCTTGTTTAATTCCCTAATGCATGCATACAATATATTGACATGATAACACACACTTAAGTCTTAATAAACAGATATTCAGATATTTTTTACAAAGGAAATCTCTTTCTGGGTTTTAGAAAGTTCACATCTTGTTGCCAGGTAAACTGTAACATTCTGGCAACAAGCAGGTGTCTAGCTTAAGTGTCTTCTTGTCCTGTATTGCAGATTTTCCATTGATTTGTTTATAAAATTTTGCATTTTAGATTAATATAGGTTTACAAGAAGTCACATTGCATGATGTTGTTTTCTTATGATAGAGTTAATCACTGGCCTACTGTTACTGAAATAAACTTGCTATTTAACTTGCTTAGTTAACATGTATCTGTGACATTGACTTAAGTCTTTTGGTGGGGACATGTACAGCAAGATACATAGGTCAATAATAAACAATAGCACCATCACAGGGAGCAGTCACATTAAGCAGATTACAGGCGATGAACTCAAATTGACAAAATTATGAAAACCATTGCACCATAGATCTGAACAAAAATCACTCAATAGTTGGTTCTGGAGGCTGTGTCGTCTGGAGCACAGTTGCCACTAGCAACAGGTTTTGTGGCAACGTGGAAGGACTGAAGCTTGTCTCTATCTGTTGATTTGATGTTAGTATGGATAGACAGGGCGTTTGGGCAATTTGCTGTTCTGTACTGTTTTTAAATTTTAGCTTTTTCCGGATGTTGCGGTGGTGTAGCCATGGGGAACCTAAAAAGAAATAGATAAGTTATAATAAGTACATCTGGTAAGTTATTGCTCAGTGTTACAGTAAGAAGAAAGAGGATGTTGTTGGAGATAGTTCCTGTTTTTGACTATAAAGTAAGCACATGTGGTCAAATCAGACATGAATCTGCAGTCTTATAGTTATTGTCTTGTTGTTATTTTGGGTTTCAAACTTCACTTTTTGCATGTACGTTTAGGTGACAATAGAAACAATTTTTTTTGAGTTGCATGAGTACTTTCAACATTATTTTTGTTCAAATAATTTGTATATGAAACATTTTATTTGCAACTTTATGCATTCAGTGGTATATTAATATTGTTTTTCATTAGCTTAACATACCTGTCATTCTAAACCAATGTAATCACATTTTTTCCATTGTAATGCTTCTCCATCCAGCTATTCTTTCAGTCAGTCAGTCCACTTACTCCTCTGCACCTCCTCAGACCATTAAACACTTTCCTTGACATTTTACACAAGCAGGTAGTACAATGATGAATAATAGAAAAGAGCTCTGCCAGCACTGCAGTTATTTGGGCCCAGCCGTGATCCTTGTCATTTCAACACAAGTGCAAAGCTAATTTAGCACAGGACAGAATGTAGCCACAAAATTGCAAGGAAGGAAGTTAACTGAGGAAGTCTGTGTCCATTTCAGTGTCATCTGATCCTTATGGTTATGTTGATTCTGGTGACAAATTGGAAAAACAATATTGAGTTGTAAGTTTGCGTTATCCTAGGTGGTGATCAAAAACTTGGGAATGTACAGTAGTAGCTGGGTGTCAAAGCAGAACAAAGGGAGTTAAACAAAACTTGAAGTGGGCTTGGCAGCGATCCAAGATGAGAGCGAGGGGGCACAAAAGAAAGCTTGTCCCGAAGAGTCTTGCAGTTGTTTTTCAGTGTCATATCGTACCATGGGCATGTTTTCCTATTTCACTCCATACATTTGCATGAGAGGCACGCCAGACATTTTTCCCCACACATCAAAGCAGCCCAGTTCATTTAGCTGCAGCTGCACTCCTTGAGATAAAATAGCACCAGTTTGATGGGTCAAAAGAAGCCTTGAAATCACCCATATAATTTGAAGTGCTCTCACATAAAGAAGTTGTGGAGAGAATAATAAGTGGTACTCTAATGGTACCCTGGGGAGCACCATATTCGGCAAAGAGCTGGACAGTCTTAAAAGTTGAGCAATTTGAAATATCTTTGAAATTATGCAACTTATGCAACTTGTGTGAACGTTTTAGTGCAGTTTCTATCATCCAAGCTTGCTTATTCGTATTAAAAAAAAACTGTTTGCATACCAAATAAAGAATTCTTATAGTTAAATTCACTGCTTTTGTAACCACATCATGAAGCAAAAAATAGCCAAGAAAAATCACATGCTACTGACCTGTTCACTTGATAAATCCAACCTTGCCCAAAAAGTCAAAGTTCCCAGAATAAAGTTAATCCAGTATTTGTTGCAGATTTCCTGTAATGGTGTTGTTTTCTTGACACATTGAGTGCCCCCAGCCCGAGATGAGGTCCATTCTCATCTAGAGCGTCTTGCGTTTGGGGAAGAAGGCTTTCCGAAAAGATGTTGTGGTGGTGCCCCGGCTGAAGGACGCTCCTCCCAGGGAGATCTTGGTCTTGCCACTGGTGATGGTGGAGGACCCCAGCGATGTCAGTTTCTTCCCGCGGGAGATGGAGGAGTTCCCCATGTTGAGTTTGGTCTTGTCCCTCTTGATGGTGGTATTGCCCAGGGTTAAGGCTGTCTTCCCCTCGGTGAAGCTGGTGTTGCCCATTAGGGAGCAGCGCGTCTACCAGACCCAGATTTGTTAGTAGGGATCGGGGCTCACTCGAAGCGAAGCATCGCACACGCATGCAGCACGCCCTGCTCTGGAAGCCTCCCTGGGTAATAGTAACCCAGCGTACAGTCCAGACCCGACCAGAATGCTAAGGGTGGATAGTGCGACCCCCGTGGCGCATAATGCCCTCCTTGAGCTGGCCGACGTGGGCTCTGGAAGGCCACATACCACCCCTGTGTACTGTGAATGGACAGAGGCAGCCGTAGGTGGCCACAGCCTCTCTGGGCGGACCGGGACAGTGGTGCGATTGTCCCATCTCCACGACGACACCGGACGGTGAAGGACACATTGTTGGGAAAGGAGGCTATGTGGTGACATCACTTTCATCTCAGCCATTGTTCTCTATTGCCTCTGATTGTTGGACTTTGTTTCTGGCTGTAGCTTATATTGCACTCAGGTTTGATCCAAAAGGCTTGTATATTTTATATGTAGTATTTGTCCCCTGTCTATGCATATAATGCACTGAAAGCACGTTGATTTGTGCATGACTTATTTCTGCAGAATGGGTGTGGTCCCTGTATCTGTGCTTTTTATGAATTGTCTCCAAATATTTGTAATGCATAGTAAATAGCATATATACCAATCAAACCAGAAAGTTTTAGACAGGTTACTTTTATGAGCACTGTTACAACATATTTCACAGTCATGTTGTTGAACAATGGTTATTAATTTTACTCATGGATATTATTTGCTTGCATATTGCATACATATTCTGTATCAAAAAGGCTTGAATGCTGTGCCTGTACATAAGTGTGAGGACTCATGTCTCCTGCACAGTTGGTTCTGGTTCCCCTCCCAGCCAAGTCAACATAAACCATTCTCTCACCACGGTCACATTTGCATATCTCTCTGCATGGCTGTATAAGGCTCATTCTTGTTCCAAAGCCATTACATTCACAATCTCACTTAGCACTAGCAGCTCTCACACACAGCAAGTTTTAACAATAGCATCTGATTTCCTGTGCATCTTGTGCTACTAACCTGCTAACATTGAACAGATTAAGAGATCCTTGGCTTTTGACCCTGTGCTAAATTCAAGTGTGAACATTCCAGTAGATGTTGCTGTGTTTTTCGGTGCCCCTGATGAAGGTAGTTTTGAAAACAGAAACAGACTTGGTCCCGTAGGAGAGAGTCAGGGTGGTGAGGGAGGTGGTGTTCTCCCCTCGCGTGATAGAGGCTCTTGTCACCGACAAACCACAGATGCCCAAAGTTATGGTGGTGCGGCTCCAGGAGATCGAGTATTGGCCCCAGGAGAAGACGTACTTAGTCCTCAAAATCAGAAACCTGCCTTTGGTGAAGGAGGTTTTACTTGTCGAGAATGTGGTTTGCCACTCATTGCTAGAGTCTTTTTTGGACTGCTTTGAAGCTTTAGGTGTCCCGGGACTGCTGTCCATTTAGGTGGTCCTGCGCCTCCCCGTCAGAGCCTTGCGGAACGAGGTGGTGGTAGTTCCCCGGCTGAAGCTGGCCCGTCCCAGAGCCACTGTGGTCTTTTGCCTCTGGATAGTGGAGTCTCCCATGGAGGTTGTGGTCACTCCCCTGAAGATGGAGGAGTTACCCAGAGACACGGCCGTCTTTCCCCTGGAGATGGACGTGCTGCCCACAGCCAAGGCAGTCTTGCCCTCGGTGATGCTGGTGTTGCCCATTGTAGCAGAGGCAGTCAGCCCGTGCCTGGATCCCAGCTCCTAGCATGCACACTGCATAGCCCCCTCTGTGCAGCACTGACAGCTCGGGGGTCAAAAGCCAAACTGAGTGTGAGGCAGGGTCAGCCCTAAATAGATCACACCACAATGTATAGATGAGTGAGGACACTGAACCATCATTCTTTGAAGCCGCGGCCCCTCAAAGAGACAAGACCCAAAAGGACCTGGAAACTGGCTGTGCACAAAGGCACTTGTATTGTCTCCATGATAGCACTGCAGTGGCCTGAAGAGACACATTGTGCACCACATAGGACAATCGGGGTGACCTCAGTGTGATAAGATGGCGTGGTTCCCAAAAAGCACAGCACTCTGCCTGCCATTGTACTAAACGGTTCAAATACAGAAGTACATTTGTCTGCTTTAAAATAGGGCGAACCAGATTAATCAAATCTATAAGGCAAAATGTTGTATAATTGTTATTATTATTATTTTTTTTTTTTTCAGATTCTCTGTAAAGACTCTTCTGGAGAAGTACACAGCAGAGCCCATAGATGACTCATCTGAGGAGTTCATTAACTTTGCTGCTATTTTAGAGCACATCCTGAGCCACCGCTTCAAAGGTAACACAGCAGGTAACATACAGTGCTGACAGTCAGACTTACGGATCATATATCTGTACCCTATGGACCTTATAATATCATGTATCAGCCAAATGTATCCATCCTCACCAGGTGAAAAACAAAAAAATGTGACTTAGGTATTAAAATATGACCAGATTGTAACTTGAGCGTGAACGTGAATGTGACGTGGCCTGCTATCAGGGCAGAAATTAATCCTTTTTTTCTTCTTGGACCAGGCTCAGGAAGCTGGTTCAGCTCAGATGGACAGCGCAGCTTCTGGGAGTACATTCGGCTGGCGTGCAGTAAAGTGCAAAACAACTGTATCGCCAGTATCGAAAATATTGAGAATATCAGCACGTCACGAGCAAAGGCAAGTTTTTGTTGAAGTTAACAATGAATTGACAATATTTGACAATATTTCTTATTTTAAATTTGTATTAATTGATGACAAATAATTTTAAAATGAATCTGCTCCAAAAAAAAAAAAACAGTCAGTATTTCAGTAAATTGTCTTTTGAAATTGTGCAAACCCTACTTTTTTGCTATTACACCACTACACTGACAATAATTAATAAAAAGAAAAAAAGAATATTTAATTCTATACTCAGAAGGCAAAATTTCCTTTCACACACAATAGCTTTATTAATATTCTGTGAATCTTTGTAAAACATATATTTATTCTATTTTTTCTTCTCATACATAGGGCCGAGCATGGATCAGAGTGGCGCTGATGGAAAAGCGTCTGTCTGAATATGTATCTACTGCTCTGAAGGACACCAGAACTACCAGGTCAACATTTAAATCAGTCTTTTATTCTGATAAAGTTGTCAACTCCCAATAGGAGGTCTTCTCCATAGTTTAAAACATATATGCAGGAAATGCCAGGATTCTATGATCGCATTTTTTTTTACTGTCCAAGTGTAGGTTTTCTTTTTGCTTAGTTGGTAGTATCTCTGTAATTACTGGACCTATTTACATGAAACAAAAAAGAACGGTCTCAAAGTTCAGTATCACAAACACTCACAATTGAACTACAAGCATTAACATTGTTCAATCACACTTGCATGACTGTTGTGTGACTGGATAGACGTGAGAATTAATATGGCAAATTTGTGAACCCAGTTCTAAACAAAAAAGTGTGAATTTTCTTTTAAACACAGCAAATAGTTATATTGGCCCTTGTACCCCATCTTGAATTATTTCAAATCCTAGAACATGAATGAAGCCTGGCGGTTGAGTTTGTGTTATATAAGAGATGATGATGTAGCCTTGATAATGGGCTTTCCACTGACAGGAGGTTTTATGACGATGGAGCCATAATGCTGAGAGAGGAGTCCACCGTCCTGACAGGCATGCTCATCGGACTAAGTGCTATCGACTTCAGGTGAGGAGAGCTCATTTTTCTTTCCTTTAAGCATTTCCATATCAGACATTTTCATCATCAGTCTTATATTCTTCATTTTGTTTTGGGCTTTACAAATCCTCATACTCTCCAGATATAGTATAAGTGGGATACTTTTACGACAGGTGCATTTCTGATTCAAATATATCCATTATTTAAAGGTGCACTGCGTAACATTCCTAGTGGAGGGTCCACCACCTTCTTGTCCCCATGGAAATGTTATTGGTTTGTCTAGAATGTTCCACAGTATAGTTTAAACCTATCTATTATGAGGGAGAGGAGCAGGTTACAGCGCTACGCTACATTACAATTTAGATCTGTGGAGAGTCGCCCTTATTCACAGAAGGAATTATTCTATTTTTGAGGAAAAGAAACACACATAATGTCTAACTACTAGATGGATATGTTTAAGGTTATACCATGGAATATTTCAGGCAAAGCAATAACATATGTGGATAAAATGTGTTAAAATGACCACATGAAACACATGAATAGATACTGTTTACTTCCATGGCCAGCGAGCAAAAACAAAACAAAAAACACCTCTTTCGCAAAGCTCATCTAAACATGGTAAAATCTTCTGGGTTGCCTAATAACTATTTTTGTGTGTGTTTACTGACTGTATTTGTACTTTTCTTTTCCAGTTTCTGTCTTAAAGGGGAGGCTCTGGACGGAAAATCCCCAGCCGTGATCGATTACACTCCCTACCTGAAGTTCACTCAGAGGTACGCCACATTTTTTTTAATGTACACCTGTCAGAAAACTGCAGGGTGATGTTGAAAGATTGAAATTTTCATATGTCAGTTCACCAATGTAACAGCCAATTTATATTACAAGAATATCTGCTATCAGCCTTAAAGCTCCACCTGACTAAATATGTCAATCTTCACTTTGACATTTAAGCAGCATTAGCTTTAGTCCATCAGAAGGAGGTGCTGTACTGACTACTTGTCTCTCAGAGGTTTGAAGGAAACATGAATGACTGATGTAGTGGAGGCCTGAATGTCGATGATATTCATTTGGGGTATTATTTTTTATATACTATACCCTTCATTGCATAAACCACAGCGAGCAGTGCAATTTATACTACTTTACTTAATTTACTATTCCTTGTTAAGACAATAAAAGTAATCAAATCACCTCAGAGCAATAATACCAATTGATATAATCAGGCACTGGCCATAAACAAGCCTATTACAGTCAACCTCTAGTATTATGCTGATTGACAATGAATTAGTGTGACAGACGTAGTTATTTCTGTGACTCCAACACTATTCTTATTCTTGTGTGTTTTTAGTTATGAGTACCTGAGCGATGAGGAGGACCGGCGCAGTGTGGACAGCAGTAACAGTGAGGAGAGCGTCCCCGAGCACCCGTACATCCCCCTGGTCACAGATGAGGAGAGCTGGAGCAACAAGTGCCGCAAGATGGAGCAAAGGTTTAAGATCGTCTACGCCCAGAAGGTCAGTCTAATTAATTACTTCTCTGATTTATGTTATAGGCATGTGGCACAGTGGTTGGGTCACCAGTATTACTTTGGATTACATTAGTGTGGAAGTAAATGGTCAAGGTTTTCATATATTTTACCAAAAAAGTTCTAAGTAGGATTGGTCTCAAAACAACAGCTGGTTTGTAATCTAAAAAAAATGTATTCATACATTCTGTTTCTAATCTTTTATAATGATTATGTAATGCGATGAGTCTAGTTTTTATTTAGTGTTAAAAGTTTAAGATTGTCTACGCCCAGAGGGTCAGTCTAATTAATTACTACTCTAATCTATGTTATTGTGTTAGTTAAACCTACAACACTATTCATTTTTATCATTATTTAAATATTCTTCTTTATATTCTTTATATTAAGTTAAACAAACTTTATGTAAGATTCAGATTTTAAATTTCAACTTTGCCTATCTGTTTCCCAGATACAAGGTAAACATGTTTTTACTGATAACAACTGAAGCTGTAATACAGATTCATCCAGAAATTTGAAGTTGGTTTAAACCTAAAAAGACTCTCTTGTCTGAATTCTCACTAACTAAACACCAGCAGCTAATCATGACTCAGTGCTAGTGCAGCCTCTGCAGTTCTGTGAGTCAACTCTGGAGGTTCTGAGCTCTCACATGAGGCACAGCATTTCCATATACTGAGAAAAATAAAATATGAGGAGTATGTGGTAACACACATTTAGTTGTGATTGTAGTAGCTTTTTAAACCCTGTAAGAGCACAGGCTTTATACAGTTCCTTTAAACAGAGAAGCACTGAATCAGAGCATGACAAATAACCCCCAAATAGCACTTTGTCACAGAGATCCAATCACGATTTGTTTTTCTTATCGCCCAGTGCTATATGGCACTAGCACAGACACAGTATGCTGTGTTGGACATGATTTCCTCACCTCTATAATATAATGTAATTTATTATTTTAGGGTTACCTGGAGGAGCTGGTGAGACTCAGAGAATCTCAGTTAAAAAACGCAGAGGCTGAGAACAAGCGTCTGAGAGCAAAGGTGGATGAGCTGACGCTGCAAAGCCAAACAGAGAAGAAGGAGCTCGAGGCCATCATCCTGGAGCTACAGGCACAGTTGTGAGGACATGTCCACACTTTTAAACAATACATATATAACACATATATAAAACTGTCTATTCTACTTACTTACTCTACTCTGTTACACAAAATGATAATATACATACCCTTACTCTAATTAATAACACTAGTCTTTATTCTGTCTCCTGTTTGGCAGCATAACCTTTGTTGATAGAAAACTGTGTATTACCATTGCTAATGTTTTAAACAATGATACAGCATAATATTAAATGTGTACATGAACATGGACACACATATCCACATATTGTCTTGAAAATGTACATACTTCACAATTGTATTTTCTTCAGATCCTCCTTGATGCCCTGTGATTCTGCTCAGCTCAGTAAAGATTTGACTATTCCTCTGGTCAACCAGTGGTCCACGGTCGCAAACAACCAGGGTGATGTCAAGCTTTTCCGCAGGTACACTCCTGACCCCGAAATTATAGTTTACTTTTAAAGTGCCAATATTATGCTATTTATCTGATCTATAATTTTGTTTCCTCATCAAAAACATACATGTTCATTCACACATGTTTAACACACTAATCCTGCATATTTACTTTGAGTTCTTCACTGAAACTGAAAAGACCTTGTGATGTCATATGGTAATACAAGAAGTGCTCCACTGTGTTTTTAAACTCCATACTCATCCACTAGAATGATTAGGGTGATTTCAGTCCTGGAATAGCAAATCTCTGCTAAACTAAAAGTAAAAGGTAGCTGTTAACTTGAAAACTATGACTATATAACATCATGAGGTGAACCATTTTTTGAGCATTTTGAGCTTTGGGGATATAGACAGACTAATAATAGGTTTACTCAAGCATGTGTGCATGAAACAACACACAACTCCAGGTATGTTTTTGATGAAGTAATAACATAACATGGCTTAAACCTCACAAGAATCCATTTTGTGTAATATAGAAGCTTTAAAACGTGAATGATGATATTTTCTTTTTACCATTTAGGAGGAGTTTCCACAGTTTGGACCAGCTTTCAGCCGATATGAGTTTAGATTCTCAGAAAACTGAAGGCAGACAAAACGGAGACACAGGATGGACCTCAGCAGGTAATGCATGCTATACTATGCTGCCTATATAGGAGTAATATTGAGTGAGTTTGCTCTAATCGTATTACGTAACTGCTCTTTAATGTGAGTGGGAGTAACTACTACATTTGACAAAAGCTGTAGGTGTGTGGCACAGTGGTTGAGTAGTGAGTCATCAGTATTACTTTGTATTACATTAGCGTAGATTAGAGTGGATAAGGATTTTAACATAATTTACAATGGAAATGGTTTGTTCATTTACTATTATACTACTATATTCTTTAGGGTTTCATATATTTTTCAGAAAAAGTAATTAGTAGTATTGATCTCAAAACAACAACTGCTTCTGAAAAAAATCATGTAGATTCCATACATTCACTTTCTAATCTGTTATGTAATTTGATGTGTCTAATTCTTAGCCATCAAAAATATGACATGCATGAAAACTATGAACAATATTTTAGTTAAATTAACACTGCTTTGGAGTAGATGACTTTCCTTGTGCAACCTCTTTGAATTATCCTGGTTTGGGGACATGCACAATCCACACTCTGGCTGTTAACTCACTGTCAAACCCTTTATTTGCACAGCACTTGCATGAGCAGAACTGTCCTCCTCTCTCCTCTGGTGCATAATGGCTGTATGGAGGCTGCCTCCCATGCACATGTTCATATGTCCATATTCGCACAAAGGCAGCTTGTCTGTTTATGATATCTGATGTGGGCAGATGAAAACTATGCATGTACTGTATTAATTGTGCATTTTATCTGTAGGAAAAGATGACACCCCCTCCATGTTAGGCCTATGCGGCTCGCTGGCCTCTTTACCCAGCTCCAAGTCCCTGGCTAGCCTCAAGTCCAGTGAATGTCTGGTTAATATCAGCACTGAGCCTAGTCCTGCCCTGTCTCCCAGCTAGGGGGCGCTCAAAATAAGGTCTATCTACCCCTGTCCTGTTTGCCTGGTGATGCTGCGTCGACCAACCACCTGACCAAAACCCTGCCTTCACCCCATCTCCATGACAACGGGAGAGTTACGGCACCGCCTCTTTTTTACTCAAGACAGAAGTCAGTATTGGGTTACAAATATATTTGACTTTTTATTATTTACAGATATATCTACAATGATTTCTTCCAGTCAGCATTTGTTTTAGATCATGCTCACACAAATGCTCTCCCATTTTCCAAAGCATCTTTTGATTATAAGCTTTGATTTCAAAATGTCTAAGTGATAACCATTGTTACTTGACCAACAATTAAGCTTAATTTGTATTATTTGTCTGTTGTAACCAAAAACTCTAAAGTTGCACTATGTAATTTTTCTGCTTGTCTCCCTAAAGATGTTATTGATTTGTCTGGGATGTTCCACAGTATGGCATTAAATCTGTCCGTCTTACATTCATTCAATTACAAGTGTTTTAATTGCTTGGAAATACCTTAAAACATGCATTCTTACTATGAGCTGGCTTACTTCTCCACAGATCTGACTTGCTATTGTCATGTGCTACTCTGCATAGATGTAGATAGGCTTAATGCCGTACTGTGGAACATTCCAAATGAAGCAATAACATCTGCAGAGGCTAACAGGTGGAAAATGTGAACCCCCTCCAGAAAAATTACAGTAGAGCTTTAAAATACTGCTTATTTTATTTATTTACACATGTAATCTCGGAGTCTTGGTTGGTTTTGTGTTGCAATAAACTGCCTTTTCCATTTAAGAGTTTGTCCTTTGTATGTAATCGTTTGATATGTATAAAATCATATGGGTTTAGGTACAGGCTGGGGCTCCATCTGGTGGCTAGAAGTGGTAACATCAAACGTAAAATTGCTAGACAAATACAGAAAGTACTAGAAATATTCATGCAAGGGAAACTTATTGAGCACAATTAATGTTTGTCTATGACTGTAGTGTTTTAAATTGACTCGCAGTAGACTAAAAACTTAGATATAAAATGGTGTCAGGTGTCAGAACAACTGCATATTTTTGTATAAATACATTTGATATGCCATTATGCCCTCTAGCTGTTGTGACATGGAGTTGTAGTTCAGTAGATTAGAGTTGCTGAGTTAGAGCTTTTTGCTCTAATATATATATATATATTTTTTTTTTCATTATTTTGTATTGCTATATAAAATGAATGAAATGAAGATTCCCTAGATCACTCTAATAACATTTATGGAGGTATTTCCTAAGTAGGATACACCCACTGAGAGTGCTAGAAAAATATCCTGACAAATCTTTGAATAATGTAAATAACACAACACATAAGTTTCAACCTTAATTTTTATGAGTCATACATGGGCTATTGAAAAAAATTATATTATGATACTTTTACATACAAAACAGAGTTGCTCTTCTAACTAAACTAATATTTGGGATATGGACTATAGTAGGCTGCTGGTAGTAATTTTGTACACTTTTGTTCACTCCTAGTCCTATAATAATAAATACATAAAAATAAAAAAAAAAAGATAAACATGCCTATCTTTCTCTACTAAAGATAAGTAGCATCAATATAACGGTTAATAAACTCAACATAATCAATTTGCATGCTCTCTCTGGTTGGTAACACTTTAAATTCGTGTTTTACTGCCATGGCAAATGAGCTGTAAAGTTTCTGTTGCTGATTTAAAAGGGGGAGGTGGAGGAGGGTCCTGCAGAGAGAGGCTGTGATGCCCTCTTCTTCTGCATAATAGAAAAATATGGGACCAAAGTGGGTGGGAACTACAACTTTTGGGGGGCTTTCCTTTAAAGACAGATGGCTCCTTCGCCCAATACGTGCAGAGTTGTAGTCTGGAGCAACCAATAAGCAGATTTTGGGTCTTTAACACGAGCCTAGTCTAGTTTTTTTCATTAGTTTTTCACACTCCACGAGTGAGCTGCAGGTTGAGGCTCCTGTGTTGACAATTTGACGACAAGGGAAGCGAGTGTTGATGGTTCGGTAGGTTTTAAAGTTTAGTTAATGTTAGAAATCTAGCAAGTTATTTTATTTGGTGCGTTTTTTGTCACTTGCAAACTACGAGAAGTTATGCTGTAGTAATTATCAATATATATGCAACAAACCATAATAACAGGCCTGCGTAAAGTGTGGAAAAGATGGATTGAATGTGGCTGTGTTCGTTCAGTTGCTTGCTCCACTGAAACTACCGAGATTGGGGGAAGGAAAGAAGCGGAGATCGTGTTTTTCTTAGCCGAGCAGAGAGAGGGGATGTCGGGCAGAAGTTGTGGAGTGCCTCGGGGGTACAGCAGCAGCAGCAGCAGCAGCAGCGGTGGGAGCTCCAGCAGCATGCAGCCTATAAAAGCCACGGTCCCGTATCAGCTCCAGAGAGGATCGGCTCTTCTACTGGGGAGGACCGAAGTCAAAACCGGTAAATATTGCACAGTTGAATTATATATTTGACTTTAAAGGTGCATTATGTACCTTTTCTGGTGGATAGACCGTCAAATGCTTTTCTCTGTGGAGATGTTATTGTTTTGTTTGGATTGGAATGCTTCACAGTATGGCATTAAAGCTTTATATCTTCATGGAGACCAAACCAGATCAAGTTACAGGTCCAGATCTGTGGAGAGACAGCCCCACTCACAGTCAGAATATCTGTTTTCTAGGTATTTTGAGCTCTAAAACCACTGTTATTGAATAAATGTAAAAGAGAGCTGTTTAATGTCATAGTGTGGAACATTGCAGGCAGAGCAAAAACATATCTGTAGAAACAAGCATGTTCAGGCCCCTCAACAAAAAGTTACATAGTGCACCTTTAATGATAAAACACTAAGTTTTTTCTGTATAATTATATTATTATTTCACTCCAGTCTCTTACTATTTTTGCTACTTATGTAGAATGTATTATTACTACCGTTTATATGTTGGCTCTTTGTTATTATAATATATTGTGATGTGAGAGCAACTGTGTCCCAATAATTTCCCTTGTGGATCAATAAAATTAGTCTAAGTCTAAATTTAGTAGATAATCTAAACTTCATATAATCTTTACTGATGCACAAAGAACCATTAAAGTCCAGATAAAGTCAAATAATGATGAAAATAACAACTTTTGTTCTGAATCTAACATGTGATCATATACTGATCCATGGGGGAAGTGGTCACTGTTGAGGTAGAACACAAAGGCATTGCCCAAAGTCACAGAATTGACCACATTACAGAGGAATACATAGAATAAAACTAAAAACTAAATACTAAAATACCTTTGTACTGCTTATTTGTGTTTATACTGTTTTTGCTTGCTTATATGTATCTTATGATGATAGAAGGGCCTATCTATTTTTTATACAAGGTTAAGCAAGCAAAATTTAATAGTGTGTGGTGCTGATGCAATGTTATCTCATACACCTACTGCATGCAAAATAAAAATGATGGAAATACAACATACAATTGATACAAGTTTAAGGATGGGCCACTATGGATTTTTTTTAACCAATACCAATATCTAAATTTGGTTTACAACTGTGTGATTACCGATATTTGTGACACAGATATTACACATTTAAAATCCAAGCAAGGCCCAATGGTACTGATATATTGCCAGTCCATAGTTTTAAGTAACATAATCAACAAGATGTAAAGGCAACTTAAATGAACAAATTATATCACTCAGTAGCAATATGACTCTTGGTGAAAATATGTTTTGATTGCAAATTATTACCGAAGTCTTGGGCAACCTCTTTAACAAGTTGTTTGTTAGTTTTTTCTTGGCAGTAATTTTTGGCCTTGCTTGATCTCACAAACCTGCACAGACCAGAGCTGCACAGTATCAGGAGAAAGTGATTTGTCATATGTTGAGTAGGCATGATGAGAAATTTGGAGATACACAGATGAATACATTTTTGTGTTCAAACAATGAGACAAGGCATTGTGGTATTGTGAAAAATATGACTACATTAAAGCAACCACAAAACAAGATTTACCACAAATATTTTGGGTGTTTTATAATGGCGGAATGTTCAGCCGTTTCCATGGTGACACAATGCAAACACAGACAAAAAGTTTTAAGATTGTGTGAAAAAATACAAAATGGATTTAAAAATGGATAAATCTTTCAGAGGAGTTTGATTTTCAGAGAGTTACTACTGAGCTTGTGACTGTAGTTTTATGTTGTAGAGACTTATTTAACAGCACACATCAGCTCATCTGTTTTAATTCCAATCAAATCCACTCTTTCTGCTCAGATTGTGTTAAAATAAAGCTCAGATTAAGTCTAACTTGAGTAACAGAGCTGCAGACAGAGCAGTGCTTTCAGTTAGCTTCACAGCCCCCAGGAAATGACATCAGCTCCAAAGTATCAATACACTGGATTCACTCAACATTAATAACTGAAGATGACTTAATTATCTTGGTACACGTTCTTTAGTTTTGAATGGTTACACAAACTTGCTTGTCGAAATGTCCTGTTTCAACTATTTCACAGGCTGTCACTGTATATTATTACAAGATAGAAGACTGTTCTACAAAAACAAAATCAGGGTTGGTAGCTCAAACACTTGGAGTCGCTATCTTGACCTGACTTGGGAGCGTCCTGCCTTCATTGTGGCTTGAAAGTGTTAAATCAACAGTAAAGCTGCTATGTCTGAAACACAACACTGTTATCATAATGTTATTGGGACGCCCAGTCGCCCCTCTGCTCTCTGACCCGTGGGATCTGGGCTGCATGCTCCAGTCCTGCTCCAACTCTGGTCTCCTCTCACTCTTGTTCTGTAAACTATGTGGCTATGAAGAATAAAACATCCAACAAGTATGTTTAATATTGTAAAATAGTAGAATATAGTGTCTTATTTCACCATAGACAATGCAGCTTAAGTGGACAGCAACAACAAAGGTCTAAAATATAAATCTATATGAAGAACAAATTAAGAATGACTTAACTAGGATCTAAATTTGAATGATTAAACAAAGTCCAAACCAGGACTAAATCAGGACTTGAGTTGGTAGAGCATTCGCCCACTGATCTAAAGGTTGGCGGTTTGAATCCAGCTCTCGACATAAACATCACAGGTAGAGCGGTCAGATCCACTGACCCACAGGTTAGCTGGTGTGATTCCAGCTCCCACAGATGAATGCTGTCGTTGTGTCCTTGGGCAAGACACTTAACCCACCTTGCCCACAGTGTCTGCGTACACTGGTGTATGAATGTGTGTGTGAATGTGTGAGTGGTTCCTTGTTGTAAAGCGCTTTGAGTGCCTTGAAGGTGGAAAAGCGCTATAGAAAAATGTGACCATTTACCACTTTACTAGGTCCAAACCAGGACTAAACTAGGGCTAAACCAGGATTAATAGGGTTAAACCAGGACAAAACTAGGATTAAACCAGAACTAAGATGGGGTAACCCAGGACTAAATTAAAGCTAAAACCAGACTAAACCAAGATGAGATCTACCTAGTGACTAAGCTGTGATATAGTGTCCTGCCCTAGTATGAGACTCCATGTGCCTGCTGTGCTGTATATTTTTACATCTGCCCTGATGACAGCATGCTGTTTTGGTTATATTATTAGCAGTTGGGGTCAAACACTTGAACTGTAGTTTGGACTTAAATTTTAAGCCTAGACAACTGTCTGTCTCAATGTACTTCAAAGGTGCAGTATACTGCTCTGTAGAAGGGTCCGCCACCTGTTTGTCTCCATGGAGATGTTATACCTAGGTACCTAGTCTCCAATGATCTGACCTGTAACTTGCCCTGGTATCGTTACCCACTTGTTGCCATGGAGATAGGCAAAGAAAAAACATCTACATGGAGACAAGTAGGTGATGGTCTGGACCCTTCACCAGAGAAGTCACATAGCACAGCTAGTACTACGTTTAGACCTAGAATTGACCTGGATGGTTGTAGAGAAGACATGGTCTTGTCAGGTTATCCCTGCCATAGACCAGTTTCCCCTTTGTGTACATCAATTTGTGCCCATTTTACTAATTAGAATTTATTTAAAATCCAAGTTTAGTGCTAGAAGTGAATGAACTGACTACATTAACACATGCACACCAGATTGATTATTGAAATGGTATGTAAACTATAAAATCTGGAGTTAACAATCTAATATCTTTTTTTTTCATATGGGAAAATTCCAAACTAATTTAGCCAAGACAGAGATTAAAGACAAACTGTAGAAGATTTAAATTTTTAATATCTAGTAATCTACTTAAATTAAAGGTCCAATATTACGCAAAATTGACAGTGAGCTTTAAACCATTTAGCCATTAAGCTACCCATTAGTTGGAGTTATGTGTTTTTTAATTCACATGTTTTAGCCACCTTGCGATGGCATGAAGCACTAGTTTTCATGTTAGAAGCTTTTACTCTTAGCTCAACAGAGATTGGCAATTTCAAGGCTGAAATGCAACGTTTGTGTGTTTGAACATGTGTGAATGAAAAAGGTACTATGTTTGTGATGAGGAAACAACATTGTAACATAGATCAGAAAATAGCCTAATAAGGGCCCTTTAACTGAATTTTGTGTGCATGTAAATGTGCACACGGTTGTTTAGTTTAGTGGTTTTGCTTCAGGTCGTAAACACACAGCCCACACCTGCCAGAGATTACAAAGTAGTGCCAAAATGAACAATGCTGCGTATGAGGTCTGGGAGCAATTTAGCCAACTATTGGTGCCCGCTGTTTAACTTCTCCTCTTAAAATGGCTATGAACACAATTAAACTGCAGCAATCTAATCTAATTACAACTCTCACATTGTCAAATTAAAGGTGGAATCTGTAACTTTTTGGTTTTAGGTCAGTCACCTGCTTGTTTCTGTGGGTATGCCGCTGCTCTGCCTAGATTATTCCACTGTATGACATTGAACAGTTCTACCTTACTTTTATTCAATTACAGGTGCTTTTATAGCTCAAAAATACCAAGAGCAAGGTTGCCTCTCCACAGAGTTGACCTGTGACTTGTCCATGAACATAGAAAGGTTTAATACTATACTGTAAACCTTCCAGACTAAGCCATTACATCTTCACGTAGAAAAGAATTTGACTGACCTTTCACCGGAAAAGTTACACAATGCACCTTTAACCAATTTTTATGGTTTTTTTTTTTGGTTTGTTTTTTCACAAAGCTGACAGGACTGCCGCTCGCCCACCAAAGCCCACCATTCGCCGGACGTTATCACTGGACACCATTGTGGGGCCCTACCTGCAAGGACAGTGGCCCAAAGAAGCAGAGAGCATGACTGTTACCTGCGTCAATGATAAAGCCACACAGGTGAGTGTTAAAGCTCATATATTGCACAATATTTACTCTTGTGTCCTGGAGTTGTGTTTTGATTCGTTCACACATGTTTGAGTAATCTTTTATTATGAGTCTGTCTACATCTCAAGCTCATTTTAAGCTCAAAATACTCTGTTCCACCTTGTGATGTCATGAGATGGTACTTTTAGTTAACAGCTACCTTTTATTTTACCTTTAGTTTGGTAGATATGGTCAATTCTTGGGCTGAAAATATCCAAGAGAGAATGTAGATCAGAACATATCATACCTCTGAATTTGGCCAAATCAACAGTCAGCAAATCTTATATTGAGGATTTGCATGTTATTACTTTGGCATAGGTTTAAGTCAGATGCCTTTCCGCTGTACTTTTCATTTTTCACATGAATTCCTTTGGCTTACAGTATGTTCTGGCTTGCAGTTAAGGGAATTTGCTTCAATCAATAGCAAAATTGTGTAATACGGTTCCAAGAGGGGTGTAAGTGTAGGCAAGAGTTTTAGCCTTAGCCTTTTAAACCAGAACCACAAAACATTACTAATAAATGTTGGTAAGTCTTCTGTTTAACTTTTGACAGTACATAAATAATACTTTTAAATAATCAGTTATTCAATTATGACACAAAGACTTGTAATTATCTTGTCTTTCTTCCAATTGTGCAACCATAATGTGTATTTTTTATTTCTTTAAACACCACATTATTAGCAGTATTTATGGGAGGCAACTGTTTCAATATCCAATGCAGCTAGCCAATATATTACATACCCCCAATAATCCCCTTAGATAAAGAACATCTTATTCAACTCCACCCAATATTAAGGTCTAAGTTACACCCTTGCCTCACATAATGATTATAAGGCTTGGGTTACGAGCCTATAAAACATTGATCTGTTGTTATCTGTTTAAATCATGTGTGACCAGTGTGACATGTACAAGCAGTCATCTCGTGTAATCCAAAATGTTTTACACTAAATAGGACTTATTTCTGGGTCAAGCTAAGGTAATTCTACCCTTCTGTCTTCACTTTTACTACTTTCTGCATTTTAGATACATACAGAAAACATCAAATATATGAAGTAATGTATGTGGAATTAGTAAAGAAAAAAGTGAGCTCTACGCAATATTTTTTGACGAAGCAAAGTGTGGTTACTTTGAGGATTTCAATATAAAATAGGGGGAAAAAGTAGCGTTATTAAACATTTTTGCTTTGCTACATCATTCCATATATCTTGCCTCATGTATTCGATGTCTTCCATATGTATATAAAACATAGAGAGAAGTGAAAGGAAAGAAATAAAAAAAATTGAATTGAATGAACATTGAATGAGAGGGTGTGTCCAAACTTTTGACTGGTAGTGTGTGTGTAATAGTGGTTCTAGTTGGGGTAGTCTGTAGGCCTTTAGTTGTTTAGTTGATTAACTGGTGTCTTAGTCAATCACATTTTTGATTAAACTAAATATTATTTTATTAAGATTATAAGGCTTTATATGCAAAATCACACAAAGGTGAATGCATGGAATTAGCTGACGCCTTGGTGTAGACAGGACAGTTAAAGGTGCACTATGTAACTTTTTGATCCGGCACCTGCTTGTTTCTATGGATAGGTCATTGCTCTGCCTGAAGTGTTCCACAGTATGACATTAAACAGCTCTACCTTACATTTATTCAATGACAGGTGGTTTTAGAACTCAAAAATATTTTGAAAAACAGGCACTCTGACTGTGAGAGGAGTTACCTCTCCACAGATCTGACCTGTAACTTGCTCTGGTTTGGTCTCCATGAAGATAGAAAGCTTTAATATCATACAGTAAAATATTTGAAACAAAGCAATAACATCTCCATGCAGAAAAGCATTTGATGGAGCCTCCACCACAAAATTTCATGAAGATGCTCTTTATTTGTACTTTTTTGTATACATGGTCATTTTTTTTTATTTATTTTTTTTTTATTACAAGATCTGTATAATCTTAGAGAGTCATGTCACTCCCCCTTTTAATCAGTTAATTGGGGGGCTTGTCTTTGTCTTACTGCAATTTCTTTTGCTGACTAAAGTCTTATTTCCGAGATGTTGGATTATAATTCTGCCTTAAATCTCTTGCAATCTTGAGATCTATATTGTTGCTGGTATGACACGATTCTCACAAAAGATGCGTCTTATTGTTGCATTTAAAGAAGCCTCGATATCAAGAAGTAGGCTGCGCAGGTGCCTGGTGGTTCCACTTCACTGAGCTAGAAATGGTTGTTTTTTGTTCTTGGTAAACTTTTGTTGCACCCCCCACCACTGTATATACCCCAAACTAGTGCAACAAAGCCACCCTCACCAAGCTCCACCAAACTCCATCGTCTTCTCCTCCTGACACAGTTTGAACCCCCTTGGCATCCATTGTGCACAGACCCTTCATGACCTCATTATACGGCTGTCCCATCCCCCTACAACCACGCTCGCACATCCCTCCACCCCCTGCCATACTTTTGCATTATTTTGCAATTTACGACTTCATTCTTATCTGGGCGTACCATTGAACTTTCTCAAGCCCACTTCAAGCCCAGAAAAGATTTATAAAGACTGTTGTTAAACTGTGGTAACAAGTCAAATGATTAGTTTCTTCCTTCCTGACAAACCCCTTTCCACTTAACACAAGGGTCATTGAATCGTCTGATCAAAATTATGTAAATCTATACAGCCTTTAGCCTAGTTTAATAATATACATTTCTAAACTATGTGAGTGCCAATCAAAACATGACTGAAAAGACATCTTCTAAACAGGAATGTCATTTTGTGCAAACAAATATGGATCTCTTGGTATTTTTCAGATAATTAGAATGGTTCATTGCATCAGAAATGTGCTGAAAATGTCTTGGTTGAGGTTCAAGGATTTCAACAAAAAGTGAATGGACTGTAAAAATGAACACACAGAAATATTACCATATAGCTCACATTATATTGTTATCATTGCTTCTTACAGTCATTTGTCAGCTTTCTTATGTAGATAATATACTTATCTTATACTTGTATTATATTTATACTTTATTAACTTGCTTGTTTATTGATCTATCTATCTATCTATCTATCTGTTTATTTATTTATTTATAGTCACAGGAGTGAGTAGATCTAGTGCTAGTGCTAATTCTCAACTCTTGTCCCTGGTTGGGCTTAGGGTTACACTCAAGAAAACAATTTAAAAGTGTAATCTTTAAAGGTGCACTATGTAACTTTTTGGTTGAGGTTCATCACCTGCTTGTTTCTATGGACATATCAGACAAAACAATAACTTTCCACTAGAAAAGTTTCATAGTGCACCTTTAAATGCATTTTCACAACAGTGCAGTTTCATATTACAAAGATTCCCACATTCAAACACATGTTTACATACACAGACAATAGAATGCAATATTTACATATGGATACAACTTGTTTTTAACCAGGACTTGAGGTGTTCACTTGAGGTGACTTGAGCTGTTCACCTTGAGGTGAACAGCTTAAGAAATGATATGCACTGATCTGACATTTGATGCGGTGCCATGTTCTCCAGTCAAATTTTTAAACATTGCAATTATTAAAAAGTATACTGATATAACTGATACTGATATAACTTTCTACCTTGCCGACCAGATGCTATAGTATACAAATAGTGTTATAAAGCTACTTCGATACATATCTCATAGCATAGTAATTATAACTTGTATATTGACAGTTGCCTATTAAAAGACCTTTGTTCATAACACTTTGAAAAAATCTAAAACTAAATGTAAACACATTCGTACAGAAAGTGTATATTCATACTAAATTAGTCTGTGGCTTTCGTCTTGTTTATGACTGCTTATCTAAAATGGCTTGTGCACAGTAATGACTCCATGTTGTCCAAGATTTGTATTTCATTCTGGCATAAGACATGTTTTGGTCCACTTTAATAAACATACTTAAATGTCACTCATTCATTAACTTGTTATATCATTTTAACTGTATATGTTCAGCAGTTGTCTTATTTACAATCTTTACTTGGCTCATAAATTTCCATTGACAGCCTATTGGTTTACTTTAACTCCTTGTTGACAATATTATGTCCCTTTACCAGACAGGAACGTTAATAGGACGGGCTGCCACTCTGAAACACTAGCCAAATTCTCAGCTACCTTTGATGCTTTTTATAGCTGTGTGTCTCATTCCCCGTTCAGATTTTGGGAGGGTACAAGGCGCTGGACAGTGGGGGGTTGCCATCCGTAACTGTATACCCCTGTCACTTTATAACTGATACCACATCCAGACCTATCCTGCCCGGCAATAGACAGATCGGACTCTACTTTGGACTATAATGCTGTTTAAAGAAAGATATAGGGAATGTATTGCTTATTTTAGTATGTTTTGTAGCATAGCGAAATGAATGGTGTGTTATATATGGCTTGGAGTTGCTAGTGGAAAGCCTTGATTGATAATGTTATGTGTGTGGTTGCCGGTGAAGATCTGACTTTGTATACAACTGCCGTAACCAAAGAAGGACTACTCTTTTGCTCTGGATTTAACTGGTGTCAGTGATGAATCCTCAAAGTTTTGATCTGAAACAGCCTTCACAAGCGGCCAACCAAGCTCCAACTGTTAGAAGATCAAGAGTCAATGTCAAGAAATCGGTATGCTGTGAATGAATAATGCACATATTTTAACTGTTTTTGGAGTGGACCATATAACTACAGATATCACTGTATTTTCCTGCTTGTATTTAGTGAGTCCTAACACATTAAAGGTCCTGTATTACACAAGATTGACTCTTGTGAGCTTTAAGCCATGTTAGAATGTTGTTACCTTCTCAAAATCATACCTGGACTGGTGTTTTGTTTCATTTACACATGTTTGAGTAATCCTGTATTATCTGTCAGTATTTGTCCAAAGCGCAAAATGTTCTGTTCCATCTTGTGATGTCATGAAGTGGTAGTTTTCAAGTTAACAGCTACTATTTACCTTTTGTTTAGTAGCGCTTGGCAATAGAGATGGGATAGGTTTGTTTTTTTACATACATACCAATCCAAATTAGACATTTTTTGCAACAAGATGTAAATTTTGTGAATGGCGCTTTTGTTTTTCTTTCTTTGTTTGTGCAATGAGGTGTTATATTTTTATGATGTGGTTTGGATATTTTTACAGTGTGTGTACTGTAAGTATGACTGTTAGCGAGTGGCTGCACAGCTGTTGTGGGGCAGGTGTTAACAGACAGCTGTGGTTCGTTTTTATATTTACCGCTGTCAAGAGAAACAGTGCAAAGTAGTTTCAGCTTAACAGTCATACCATATACATGAATGAATGGAGACTAGACGTATGTTTGGGCAATATATTAACATCTAGAACTGAGTCACCACCTGCTTGTATCCATGGAGATGTCAACGTTTTGTGTGGATTGTCACGTGTTATGGCATTAAACTCTTCTTTCTTAGATTTATTCAGTTAAGAGATGATCTATTGCAAAAACATGCTTTCTTACTTGGGCTGCTAGGTCCTTTGGAATCTATTGGAAATATTTAAATGGATGCAATTAATAACAAAACTCATATGGCAAAGGTCATAATTTTGGAAGTACCATAATTTCTTCACGAACAACAACTCTGTAATTTTGATTTTGAACCATGTTCTGAAATGTGATTTTTGTATTAGTTTGTCAATTTATATTTCAGTCTTATTGTTAAAAATGTGAATCCTATTATTAACACTACTAATAATTCACAAATCATATTAAAATGCTTGTCTGAAAAATCACAATTAGATATTTTCCCAAATCGTTGGGAAGGGTGCTTGCCTTCCACAGATCTGACCTGTAACTTGCCCTGGTTGTGGCACCTGCTTGTTTCCATGAATATCAATTATTACCGTACTGTGGAACATTCTAGACAACCATGGGGTAGATTCCCAGCAAGCTACATACTAATGCAACTGTAACTTTGTTGCTTTGAAGAAACAAAAAAACAATATTATTTTTTTTCTTATTTCAGACTCCTAGTTCTTGGGCAGAAGAAACCCGAGGCAGAAGAAATGCAAGCGGACACAAAAGATCAGCATCTTGGGGAAGTGCAGAGCATCTCAGAGAGGCAAGTCAAATGCATCCTCTTAAATAAAGTACTCAAAACAGCTAAATTTAGGACAAAGAAAGGGCACAATAAACGGTTCTTATATTCTAGAATGAGAGAGGCGACATTTTGGTATGAAATAAATAAGAAATTAGTGGTTTTCAGATTGTAGAATGTGATGATGTTATACTCCAAAATGGGGGGCAAGAAACAGTGTCCTCACTTCATTGCATTGTACTTTGCTATGAAATATCTAAAAGACCCTAGAACTCACTGAATTACAACAAAAATCTGCATTTAGCAGTATTCTTTTTAGCTGCTTCCTTAAATCTGTCTTATCAATGGCCTATAGAATGTTGATGTCATCTGAAATCAGCAGTATCCTAACCCAAAGACACACATTTGTCAAACTGGATTATTATTTGCAAGAGGGTGGGTCTATCATTCACAGATTTGCCTCTTTAATCTTTGCTAAAACTCCTTTCAACTGACTTAAATAGTAATAAAATAATTTGTTCATTTGAGCTAACAGAGAATACATTGAACTGCTTTATGACAGTAGAAAGGCAAATTGTACCATATAATAGAACCTGCTCTCCCCCTCAGTATTCAGTAGATTCCCCTTGTCAATCTGTTGCTACATATTACACTGACTTGACATTACTGTAATGAAAAAATCAACACATTTTCTTGTAATAATAAATGTAATTTTGTTCTCAGGTGGCCAAGTTGAGGCACCAGTTGCAGAAACGCTCCCGTCATGCCGCTCCATCGTTGGGGTATGAGCTCTCTCACCCACCCCTGCCCGCGGGGCATGTAGCAGGCATCACACAGGTACCACACTGGATCTGTCTGAAATTCAACTGTAAAGAGATATAGAGCAGATTAAGATGAAAATATTTCTTTTTGTTGGTTTTCCAGACTATGCCAATGATCCCCTTAAACAGAATTGCTACTCGTTTGCGACGCAGTGTTGAGGGCCTGAACCTAGAACTTGAAGAAGTTTTTGTGTCTGAGAAACCTGACGACGATGAAGAACATGAGGTTTGAGTTACCTTCACCTTATTTATAGTGTGAATGAGAAATTCATCATTTAAAACTATATAGGCCTATTTGTTAAATTGACATCTAAAGGTTCAATACAAAACTGTCCCAGTGGGAGGTTTGCCATCTGCTTTTATCATTGGACATGTTACTTTGCCTAGAAATGTTCCACAGTACGGCATTAAATGTATGTCTCTAGCATGCATTTAATGGTGTTTTTATTGATCAAAATATCTTGAAAATTATGCATTGTTACTGTGAGTGGAGTCGCCTCTCCACAGTTCTGACCATTAACTTGGCTGGGTAGTCACATGCTCTATGGAGATAGAAGTTTAATACTGTGGAACATTATGGGAAAAGCAATACATCTGCATGGAGACATTTAGAAATATTCTACACTAGAAAAGTGTAGAATATTTCTTGTTTAAAGGACTGAAGTGCAAGTTTCCATCACGTCCTTTTGTAGCTGTGTTTTTTTTAATGTGTGATATACTGTACTGTTCTCCATATTATTTGATGTTAGACTACTACTGTATTGCCCACTCTAATATGAATTTAGACATTATTATATTATTATATATCATTCCTTCTATTTTGTTCACACACAGATATCTCAGATTTTGGACATCCCAGACGGCCATCGCGCCCCCGCCCCAGTACAGAGGTGTAGCAGTGGGTCTCAGAGTGAGCCCTCCCCGGGACCCCTGGATCCTGCCCTGCTGTCTCCATCCCAGTCCCCGTGTCCGCTTCACCCGGCGCTTCTGTCACCCTCCAATTCACCCTCCACCTCACCCTGCCCCATGAACACCTGCCTGCTGTCCCTGTCACAGTCCCCCTGCCACATGGGAGGGCCAGGTGGGTCCATAACTGCAATTCAAACAATTTGCTCTATCAACATAATAAGCAAGGAACCAAAACAGAAGACTACAGACAACGTTAAAGATGAAGCACGTAACTTGCTTGTCTCCATGGAGATGCTTTTTTGGTATTTTCAATCATACACAACATTTATACAGATGAGTAAAGTGTCTTGACCTAGGACAATACTGGTGGGAATGTGATTGTACTTTCTTTCTTCATTACATATAATGTAGTATAATAGACATAATTTTGTTCAGCTGAAGCAAAGCAGAAATATAACTTCCTCTGTGTGCTAACAAATAATGCTGAGGAGTGAATTATGGAAAACACTTCTAAATTTGGATTTAAACTTAGAATTAAATACATTGACATTTAAGGAATTTAAAGAACAATAATTCAGACGGTTTGCAACCTTTGCTGATTTTTAAAAACATGTTAATACTATTTTTTTCTGTGTTTTATATTTTAGTCTCTGAGGACTGCAGTGCATTGTGCCCCTCCTCCTCTGCTCTCCCCTCTTTTGCGCTCAGCCCTCCTCTGCTCCAGCAATGTTCCTCTGCACCCCGTCCCAACAGAACTTACTCCTATCAGCGAGAGCCTCCAGAGGGGTGTGAGAGAAGAGGACTGTGCATAGACCCAATGTAAGGACAGCCGTTTTAAATGATGTACATTTGTTGAATATAACAGATTTTTTTTGTTTTTGTTTTGATATTATTTTGAGCAAGAATGTATATTATGGTCAACAATGAGTTCATAAAGCGACAGTAGCTGGGGTGAGAATAGAGCATTTGGTAGAGTGTCTGCCCACTGATTAGAAGGTTAGTGGTTTGAATCCCGCTCCCGATATAAACACCATTTGTTGTGCAGTCAGATCCAGTGGCCCACAGGTGTCTGTGGACTCTGGTGTATGAATGTGTGTGTGAATGAATGAGTGGTGATGTAAAGCGCTTTGAGTACCTTGAAGTTGGAAAAGCACTATATAAAAATGTGACCATTTACCATTTGAATTGTGGTTTCATATTGTGCCTTGAGTATAGAGGCATATGATAATGACAGAAGCAAAGCCTTAGACTTAGACGTTATTGATGCACAGCGGAAATTATTTCGACACTGTAGCTCGCACTTTACAATATATTATAATCACAAAGACAAAAATATAAATCCAAAATAAGTAGCAAAAATAACAAGAGAATGGTATCATGGTAGAAATGTGATTTTCGAAGGCAGGTTTGGGGTTTCTGAGGAGGAGATAGACACTCTGGTTTTGCATTCCCCTTACAACTGAAAGATAGAAGTAATAAGAAATAGAAAAAAGCAGCGGGCCGGTGGAGCACATGAATAAGAAGACAGAGAGGAAGGGAGTAGGGGTATAAAAAGGGTAGTGACAGTCAAAAGCGTTCTGTGACTAAGGTGTGGCCCTGCCTTCAAAGCTTAGATAACCATAAACGTATCTTCATTTGTCTGTTGTGGTCATGGCCTTATGTCAACTCATGAATGAACTTACTTACACTTATATAGTTATCTCATCCACAGTGGTGAGAAGTAGGTCCATGTATGTACTGAAAATACATATTCAGAATACACATTTTTAGTTATAGTAACGGGTGCATTTACTCTTTCATTCATTCTTTTGAAGGCTTTCAGAGTACTTAAACTCAAAGGAACACATATATTACAATATTTGATCAAGCAATTTAGGCTTCCAACTGCTCTTATTCAGTGAGAAAAACAGAAAACACAGCTCTTGCAGTTTTTCATTCATATTTAGTGCAACAAACATAAAGTTGTCTTCAATCCCAGTGTGCATCGATGTAAATATATAGTAAGTACAGAATACATTACTCTGATTGGACTATGTTATTAAATACATTTTAATGCAGTAACTAAATGTATTCTCTAAGCTCTTCCCATCACTGCTCAGCCATGTAGTATTGGACAGTAGGGTTGTCAAAAGTATTGAAAATCAGATACTATATATATAGTATCAAAATCAAGTTTTAAATTTTTATATCTTAACAACACTATTACTTTTAGCCATAAAACACACTTATTTCTATTTTACCCCCAGGTCTGCCTCTCAGGACGAGCCTCTTCTTGCCCCCTCCTGTCCAGACCTCAATAAAGTGAACTTCACCCCTCATGGAGGCTCTGCTTTCTGCCCCGTGAGCCTCCTGAAGCCCCTCCTGCCCTCCATGGACCTCCTCTTTAGGGGGCTGTCTGTGTCTCCTGTCACCGGATGCCCCGGACAAGTTTCTCCCACAAGACACCTGGGCATGCAGTGATGACAAATGAAACAGACACTTTTGAACTGGTCTATGTGTCATGAAGGAAAATGGAAATCCCACATACTTGATCTTGATACATTTGGACATTTTTGGTTCTCTGTAAAAAACAAAAAATGTGGCTGCTTTTCTGGCGTTATTACACCTGCAAGAGGACTGCACGAGAGCTGATCTTCACCAGCACTTAGAGTAACTCACAGTAATGTTGTCACTATGGCACTCAACAGTGACTGCCCACACCCTAGTTCAGGAAGTAAATTTCTCAGTTACTTTTCCCATAGACTTTATGAAAAAACTAGCATTAAGTTTGTAACCTTGCTTAGGTCTAATCAGCTACATAGTAACTAATGGGCACAAGACCTATAATGTTTTTACACTTTATAAACTTTAAAATGGTGAGTTATTAAAGCATTTAGCTGAATCTTTTGTTTTAAATGTGCCTTTTGGACAGTGCCTTATGGATATTAGTTACTGTGTAGCTGGTTAGCCTCTGCAATATCTTTGAACTGTTAATATTTGAATTAGTAAAAGAAATATATGGGAAAAAATTAATAAAAAATGTATTTCCAGAACTGGAGTAAGCTATGACTATTGAGCTCCTTTTCATTTAGGCAAAGACTGCTTCACTAGTAACGTAAGGAAGCACAGAGATGGCGCTAACATGAAAGACAAAATCCAAATCCTTATAACCCAAATCCTGGTAGGGTTTTATTCTTTTTATCTTTAAGTAAATTAAAATATATTAAAAAAACATGTTTTCCACAAAGCTTCAGTTTGCAGTTGTGAGCCATGATAAAAAAAATTAGAGGGTTTATTTCAGGTTTGAGTTTTCGTTTTTAATAATGATGAGGTTGACATCCACACAGCACTTACAGCTGTTTATTTTTTATTTTTTTACTTTTTAATTTTAATTTGACTTTTTTTTTTTTTAGTTCTGTTTCAATGTGTGGCCTGTTCAGTTATGTTTTTTAACCACAGGCATAGGGTGACCAGATTTTCAAAACTAAAAACTGGTTGGGAAGTTAGGTATAATAAAATTATGAAAAGAGTGCATTACATTGCCCATTCTCCTCTCAGTATGCAGTCAGTAAACTATATAATCTGAGGGCATTTATTTTTTGCTTTATGGTCATTCTGAAGCACCATTTTCTGTATTTTAGGTAAACAAATGACAACATTGTTGCTGTTGACTGGTATTAAATTGGTAAAAAAAAAAAAAAAAAGAAAGATAAGGGCACCTGGGACATTCTTTTATAAAACTGGGACAAATCAAATGTTTTGGATAAGTCGGCTGGGACAAGGGAGGAGACACAGGACTCAAAACGGGGACTGTCACTAGTAAATAGAAACGTCTGGCCACCCTGCACAGGCAGAAATCTCTATTCAGTTTTACTCCCCTCCCTCCCATGAACAGTTTAGAGAAGAGAAGAATACACCCTTCCCCAGTATTTTATGAAGATGTCATTCTGGACTTCTCAAGCAATACGAGTCCAGGTTTTGTGCTTTGACTTTTGAAATATTTTGGATTTCTGTTGGTGTCGACAATACGTTTTCTTTCTATTTCCACCTATGGATTGTGCAAGGCCCTTCCAATTAAAAAAAAAAAAAAAAAAGTCAGATACCCGTTTGTTTTAAATAAAGGTATTGTGTATTATAGACATGTTTTGACTGGGAATGCCAGCTGTTGGTACTAATTTACGCTCTGGTGCCATTCCTGTGGTCTGCTACCCTCTGTTGTTTTGCAGCGATATGACACGTGGAAATTCAGTTTTCAAATTTAAGCCCCACCCCTTTTATTTAATCCTAGCGTGACTGGCTGAAACCTTTTATTAAAGCTTTACATGGTCCAATCAAAGCAGTCCACATATATATACGTCAAAAAGGAAGGCGACATTTCCAAAAGAGGACCTATAGTTTTCAAACTAGGTGACTTTACATCTGCCAGAACAATAAAATGTGTATTTAAATAGGAAATAGATACATCTAAATAAGAACAATCAAATATTGCTCACAGAATAATCATATCTAGTCTTATTGTATGCAGTAAGATTTAATGTGCGTAAAGGCTACAATTTATCCATCAATGCAAGCTGGCGTCTGTGCGTAAAGCTATAAAGGACCTAAACCTATTGTATTGTTATGACGACATTTCTTTATTTATTTTAATTATCGGATAAATTGAGGCTGAATGAAAATACTCATTACAGAGCTTTTAACTCTACAAGAGATGATGAGCAATTAAGCAGCACCTCGCGAAGTGTTTTGCGAGACAAATCGAGTGCGTAAATCATGACTGGAAATCTTTGTCATTTGGATCGCTTGGTGGCAAAACCGTACATGCAAATAGCGATAGGTCTGCGGGGTATTTAAACGTAGAAACCCACAGAAGAAAAAAAGGGGTATATTGAAATACGAGCACCACTTCCGGGCTCGTCACTGCAGCGGCTATAGTGGAGCGGGACATCAGTGCTCGGACAGCCGGGGGAAGTGGATCGGTGTCCGTGGTGGTGGACGACGCTGGCGGCATGGCTGCGGGCAAAGGAGCCGAGAGACACTCCGCTCTATGGGACAATATGAAGATACGGTTCATCATATGCTTTTTCGGAGTATTTGTCTGTTACTTTTACTACGGGATCCTACAGGAGACAATGTAAGTTGCGTAATTTTGTTCCAGAGATGTCCTATCCGCGCATACCCCACGTGTACAAGATCATTCATGTGTTTTTGGAGTTCCCCCCTCTTGTCTTGCCTAAATCAGTATTAATTTCAATGCTTTAGCTGTTACTTAAATGTCAACGCCTTTTTTAAGACGGATATTGCATTTCAAGAATCGAGAGTGACCCATCTGGTATGCTTTCCAGTTGTAGGGGGAAATGTGGTGTTGAATTTCAAAAGAAGAACATAATCTAATGCAAGATGATATAATAGTAAGACTTAATCCCTGTAATAAAATCCTACATGAGGCTAAACTATTATCCTATTATAACTGACTACAATATCCTGCCTGATCTTTAGACCTAACCCATAAACCTATAAAATATGCATGACTATTACAGTGATTTTAACTCTAAACAAGTAAAAGTTACATTGTGGTTGGTTTTACAGTGATGTCGTACCACAGTGGCATAGAGCAATGTTTTCAAAGCAGGAGTACAAGGACCACTGGGGATTTATGAGTACTAGTAGTATGAACAGTTGAAAAATAAATGAATAGTAGTAATGGTAATGTTCTCTCCTTAAAGGTGCATTGTGTTTGCGTAACTTTTCAAGTGGAAGGTCTGCCATCTGCTTGTCTCCTTGGAAATGTTATTGCTTTGTCTAGAGTTTTCCACAACCTACCTATCACAAGGAAGACAAGAAGGTTACAGTATTATGCTACATTACAGTTCAGATCTGTGGAGAGTTGCACCTATTCACAGAAGGTCATATTGTATTTTTTTAAGCATTAGAAACACCTGCAAGGAATAACTGTTAGATGGATATGTTAAATGTCATACCATGGAGACTAGCAGGTAGCGCACAACCCTCCAGAAAAGTTGAGCAATGCACCTTTAAGATCTTTCTAATTTATTATAACTTTGGAATAATAATGATCTCATTAAAACAAGAAAATCTGGTTGTAATTGGTAAAGTACAACTACTAGTCAGCAGATTTATAATGCCTAAAGGAATTCTGCATATGCTGTAGTGAGTGCCCAGAGTATGTTACAAAGTTGAGCACATAGACAGAAAAGATTGGGATTCACTGAGGACAAAATACAAACATTTGATCCTGCCACTCCCTCAACACAAAAGTTTTTATCTTGAAGATTTATCAGTCCCTATCAGGTTCAGATCAACACTTTTATGCTATGGTACTGAAAGATAAATGAATCAAACTCCACACGACAAAAAAACTTTTGACAAAGCTCAAGGTGGCGAACTGTATTAGTGCTTTGTCTCTGTTGATGTTTGAGGGTGTAGCTACTGTTAAAAAAAGGTTTGTTTCTTTGACTGTTTAGTCTGCCTAGTCTACAAATGCATCTATTGCCTGGTGACTTTTAATGGCATAATGATTATCTTGTAAATTACAAGGAGCACCCTATAATTATCTAATACTGTAGCACTGTCAGGGTAAGGATGCATTGTCTTGCAGGTGTATTTTTTTTTACATTCTAGAGTATAATAATGCTCTCAGATGTGGGCAAGTGTTTTCTCTATTAAGAAATATCCAAATGGAGAAAGACATAATGTTGAATCTTTTTGATTGAGCAGCTGTACTGAACACATTTTAACAACCACAGCAACAGTAATTTCATCTTGTTGACCTGCCCTGTTATGTCATCTGAAATGTCGATTACACTGTCTTCTTTTTTCAGCACAAGAGGAGACTATGGCCACGGAGAAAAGTTCAGATTTGCTCGAACTTTAGTGTTCATCCAATGCATCATCAATGCTATATTTGCTAGACTATGTAAGTTTCCTTTTTGTAGTTTCTGTGATTGTTTTTAAATACACTATGTGCTTAACCTTCTGCTAATATTACATTTGTCTAACTTGCATTCACTGATTCATCCACTGTGAGTGGACTTGCCTCTCCCAGATTTCACTTGTAACTTGACCTGTTGGCGCCGCCTACATATCTCCACTGAGAAAGAAAAGTTAAATGCCATACTGTGGAACATTATAGTCAAACAAATAACATCTCTATGGAGATAAGCAGGTGATGACCATCCTTGTATGGGAGATTATACCAGAAAATGCAGAAATTGTTTAAAATGAATAATTCGACAAAGTCCATTTACTGAACATCAGTGAAGACATTTAAAGCCATGCTTTAGTTTAGTATGGTCATATACTGTCATTGTTGAGATAATATAAAAAAGGTATATTTATATTTTAAAATGTAAATATATATATATATATATATATATATATATATATATATATATATATATATATATATATATATATATATATATATAATATATATATATAATATAATATATATATATATATATAATATATATATATAAATAAAAAAGGTATATTTAAATTTTCTTTTACCCATCCTTTATCCTTACATCATTATTTGCCTTTCTCTCTTTTTAACAGTAATCCAGTTATTTGAAGGGCCCAAACCTGATCTCACAACAAACTGGCTCTATGCATTGTGTTCACTGTCCTATGTTGGGGCCATGGTGTCCAGTAACTCAGCCCTCCAGTTTGTCAACTACCCCACACAGGTGAGTCTGCATGCTTCAAATGTGTATTAATAATTACCAGTGAAAACTAAAATACAAACCTTTTCATGATTTCAGGTGTTGGGAAAATCTTGTAAACCCATACCAGGTAAATATCTCACAGATTTGTTTTCTTTGTTGTCTGCGTTAGTGATATAAAAAAATATTATCACGTAATCCTTGCACACCTTATACTTCCTGTATTACCACATGACATCACAAGGTGGAACAGCATGTTTTCTTTTTGAGAGAAGAACTGAATATGCAGGGTTTGTGTGTTTTAAAAATGTGTGAATGAAACACAAAACACAATGAGTTAAAAACATTATAACATAGATCATAAAAATGCCTAATATGGGCCCTTTAATATACAACTTACAAATGCTGCACAAAAACTGACTAAATGATTGCAGATTTCTGTGTATATAGTAGTATTTGTACAAAGAGTGACCTATATAAGAGCATATGGGGCATGTCACTGTGCGTCATGTTTGAACAGAGCAGCTATCTTTGACACTATGTAGATAGACACGCTGTCACTATCCATATGCCACGCTCCCAGAACAGCCTGCATACATTATACCCCATTACACTGTAGCTTCTTAACACTACTATTTGTCACATAATTAGACAGTGTAATGATCATTCTGCATGATTCTAAAACATGTGTATATAACATGTATTTTGATCAAATATAAATATCATAACAATCTAGATTTGCTGTCAATTTCCTCAACCCAGGTAGCACTGCGGTTCAGATTAGGAACAAGGCACATTTTGTTAAATTTCTTCAGTTGATTAATTGCTCACTTTATGTAACAGTTACTGATTAACTTCTGACTTGCTTATTGAGCTAAGTAAGGGAATACTAAATCATCATAAAATTAAAACAATAACTGTAAGACCACTTACAAACAGTATATTTTAGGAAACACTGATTAACCATAAAAAGCTTTGTTCAGATACTATAATGGCACCGTCTAGGGTTGCACCAATCCAACACTTGTAACAGATATCTGAACCGATCTTCAATATTTTTGCTTGATCAGTTATCGCTCTTCCAAATATCTGTCTTTGCTATGGTATCGGTTGATTCTGAAGGCTATAGTATCAGTTTGTATCTCAACTGAGAAGGATGGATAGGTGCATCCCTAGTTTTGGCAAATACATAATAAAAAATATTCAGCATAATGATGGCATATTGCATCAGTTCACAGATTTAAATTTTGTGTGGTCTTATTTCAGTCATGATTCTTGGAGTGACGATACTGAGGAAGAAATATCCACTCGCCAAGTATCTGTGTGTGCTGCTGATTGTGACCGGCGTGGCTCTGTTCCTCTACAAACCGAACAAGAGCTCCGCTGTGGCAGATGACCATGTCTTTGGCTTTGGGGAAATTCTCCTGGTACCCTTTTTACATTCTCTCATTATTTATGTGCTTAATTTGAGATTGCAGGTCTTGTATGCATCTTTGAAAATACTCCAAAGGTTTTATCTAAAGGTTATGCTGTCCATTTTGTTAACAAAATGCCACAAGAGGAAACTAGGCCTGCATCTGCTGACATAGTATACTGAAAAGCATTTTGTTTGTATTACAATATAAACAATGTTCGCTTGTGTGAAGCATTCTAAACTGGAGGCAATTTGAGCTCTCCCATGACCAGAAAGCTCTCTAACCATATAGGATGTTTAAAGTGGGCACAAAGTCTGAGTAAATATTCAAAACAATTTGAACATTTTCCTGGTTTATAGAGTTTATAATCTGTAACTATCGATTCTTTAGGTTTTTAGTGCTTCATTGAGTGTAGTAGAAGCATAATGAACAGAGTTTTATGCTAACTTTTTGAGTGTTGTAGAATTTAGATGTACTGTGCCATGGACACCGTAAATATAAAAAAAAATGCTGCCTTCAATGTCCAAGAGAGGCCGATATTTAGTTTGGTCCAACCAGCTGCCTAAAAACGCATAAAGCTTCAGTTGAGGGCACTGCATGCATAAAGAGGGGCACTGCACAAAATATGACTACACTACTCCCTTATCCAGTTTATATTAAAGCAAGGTTGTGCGTGAATTTGTAGCAAATTCAAATTGTATCATTTGGGGAAAATAATCTAAATTGGCAGATTGTCTTGGATTAAAAAAAAAAAAAAATCTGCATTGGCATTGGTCATGAAAAACCCACATCAGTTGATCTCCAGTTTGCTATCCACTCATCACTGGTGCATATAACTGTCTGTTTCATGGGCTTTGTACATTTGTCCTCATGGTCCTGTGTTGTTTTGCCTCAGCTGGTCTCCCTGACGCTGGATGGTCTTACTGGAGTGGCTCAGGATCACATGAAGGCTCGTTTCCAGACCACAGCCAACTACATGATGCTGAATATAAATCTGTGGTCTACTCTGGTGCTTGGACTAGGTAGGTCCACTGTCCCTTTGCCAAACACACAAATGAAAATAAACAAAAGTGCAGTGCCAGAAACTACTGGGGTCTCCCTCCAGCCAACATCAGAGGTAACAGCTGCAGCCAGAACAGAAGAAATCACCATAATGAGCTACATCACCTTGAGGTGGAAACTAAGGCTCTGCCAAAGTGATAAAAGTGATAAAAGACACCAGCTCAAATGAACTCATTATCAGGTTTCACACTGTTGGCTCAATAATTCACACTAGAAAACAAACATGTTTTTAAATTTAAATTTTTTGATTAAAATATAGATGTAAGATTTTAATTTTAAATTTTAAATCAACCCTTAAATTTTAAATCAACCCTTCATTGGCACTAATTATTTATTTAAAATGTTTACAACAGTAACATGGTGGCCTATATGAACATGAGTGTTAATTCTTAAATCTTAATGTATTCTTTAAAGGTTTGGACCATGAACCATTCCTGGGCTAATTTTTACAAATAGTAAATCGTGAATAATTCAGGGGGAAAGTAAGCATAGACAAATCTTTACTGATTCTTATATAATTATACAAATATGGAAGAATATGAAGTTTAAAGTGATAGTATGTAATTTTCTGGATGTGGGATGTCAACTGCATGATTCCATAAAAGAGAAAAGTTAAAACCATACTTTGGAACATTCTCCATGGAAATATGTTTTATGCCATACTGTAGAATATATTAGCCAAAGGAGCAATATTTCCCTTGAAAAGTAGTCTCACAGGTACAGGTTAAAGTGCATTTGTATAATTTTGCATATTTGCAAAACACACTGCTACATTTGTGAAATGTTCTGGATGTGTTTACAGCATTTTGGCAGTAATTTGGCCCCGTACAAACACACGCATAATGAAAAAACATGTACTTTAGTCTATTTCGGGGATAAAAGTTACATACTATGGCTTTAATGCTAGTTTACATTTAATTATGTTGTATACATTGGTGTGTTTCATTCCTTTAGACACACCTTGTTGCCTCAACAAACTTAACTTTTCAAACAGTACTATCCATAAAGAGAAGGGGCAAATGAGAACTGTGACAGTGCTGCTGACAAGAAAACAGCTCAGTCAAGAAACACAAAGCAACAGTGTTCAAGGCCCCTTAAAGGCCCCTCAGGAGGCACGCTCTCATTAATTCAGTTAAGGCAAAGTGTTCAGTGTTATTGTTGGAGATAAGGAATCCTGAAGCTCAAAGTGTTGGTGTGTGAGGATAACGCACTAAAGAGCAAGGCACATAAAACAAATGCGATATAATGAGCCGCTTTCCGAGGCCGTGCACTAATGGGCACAGAAATGAGGATCAACAGGTCAAAGCCAATATAAGAACTGAGAGATTGTTAGCATTCATATAACAAGCTAATTGGCTGTGCCTCCTATCTCTTATATGTACTCTCATCCTGTAAGTCTTGTAAATACCTTGGTAAAACTTGGTAAAACTTTTCACACTTGGTTTAGTTTTATGCAGCAAAAATATCACTGGTCGAACTTCAAAGATTTCTTTAATAATTTTGTGATTTGCAGGTTTCTTGTGTTGTATGAGACACATTGTTTACATGTTGTCCACATGATGGTGCTATTTACCCACTAAACTTCTAAATACAGCTGACACTCAACCGTTTAGGAACAGATTGAGTGATAGAACATTAAAGGTGCATTGTGTAACTTTTCTGCTGAAGGGACCATCAACTATTTTTCTCTGTGGAGATGTTATTGCTTTGTCTTGAATGTTACACAGTATGACATTAAACAGCTCTACCTTACATTTATTCAATTACAGGTGGTTTTATAGCTCAAAAATACCTAGAAAAATACAGATATAAGCACAGTTCTAACCTGTAACTTGGTCTGCTTTGGTAGCCATGAAGCTAGAAAGGTTTAATGTTATACTGTGGAACATTCCAGACAAAGCAATAACATCTCTGTGAAGAAAAGCATTTGAAGGACAATCCACCAGAAAAGTTACACAATGCACCTTTAAGAACTGCTGTTTTTCAGATGTTTTGTTTATTTGTTTGTTTTGTAGCTGTGCTGTGGACTGGTGAGGTGTGGGACTTTTTAAGCTTCACCGAACGCCACCCGAGTATTATCTACAATATTCTTCTGTTTGGGTTGACCAGTGCTTTGGGTCAGGTGAGTAGAGCTATGTAAACTTGCCAGTCAGCCGCAGTTATGGTAGTTGTAATGGTTTAGTCAGTTCTTTTGCTCAAATGTTTGTTAAAATAATTTCCACACCTGGGAAGGGAGCAGTAATATTCTTTAAAATGCATTTTTATGGTGCTTTCAGGACATTCAAAGAAGTGAAAATCTACGGTATTTTTGTATAGTTGGCTAGTTTTAATATCCATAGGTATAGGACTACTGGTTTTGCTCTAGTCTAGACATAGTTAGACTTTGCTTTAGAATCAAATTAGCCCCAATTTTAAATGTATTTCTCACCACAATAGCAAAGGATCTAATAAAAAAAGTGTTATGCACATTATTGACCTTTTTGAAAAACACACATTTTATAATCTAGACACATAATGAATCGTTTTAATTCTTAAATAAGTGCTATTTTTGTACCCAGAAGGTGGCAGTATAACCATTACAGGGATACACCCTGGCCTATTTAGTGTTATGGTTTGTTGGTGCATGAACACAAATGTTAAGTTTTATATGAGCCCCTAGCTTTTATTTGCCTTTGAACATTGTGGTATTTTGTTAATGTACTGACAACTCCTGGACATAACACTAGTAAAACTGTATGTCCACATAGTACCACACAAGTACGGATCCTCTAATGTTGTATGTTTCCTTGTCTACTTTTAGACATTCATCTTTATGACAGTGGTCTACTTCGGCCCTCTGACCTGCTCCATTGTGACCACCACAAGAAAGTTCTTCACCATCCTTGGCTCTGTGATTCTGTTTGGAAATGTCCTGACCACCATGCAGTGGGTCGGCACTATCCTAGTCTTCTTAGGTGAGACGTGAATTAATGTTTATAGAGTTTGATATTTCTTTTACCCCCAATATTCTGTCTCCTCTTTGTTTTTATTCACAACAAGCAGACAGGGAAATGTTATTGGTTGTTAGTTGTTGTTCCATGAATCAGAATTACTATGAAGTCACCTTCATCATCATCAAAAAAAAAACAAAAAAATCCCAAATTTTACCTCTGAAGCTTGAGTAATACCACATTAAAACATATTGGACTATACCTATAGATAAAATGTGGATTTATATTTTTTTCTTTTTGATAACATTCCTGCTTTGTCTAAAATCTCTTTCCTCATGTTTTTGAGATGATATAAACAAGATAACCATTGCTTGTACAGTTTCAGCTGCTAACTTTACTAATTAGGGGCAGTTACAATTTTAACAAAGAATGAAGAATGATGAGTTTTTGGGCAACATTTGTGCTTACGTAAATGTAACTTGAGGGAGATCAGCAAAAGACAGTAGAAAATGCCAGCTGCCGGCAATGTATCTAACTTGTATAAATTGTTTTAGCTGCTTGGGCTTTGTTACTCAGTTTTTAATTTTTGTGTTGTTTCAGGTCTTGGATTGGATGCTAAATTTGGCAAAGGTCCCAAGAAGCACTGAATCCCTCAACAGCCTGTAAACGGATCTGTGCGGATTTTAGCTCTGTAGTAAATGTAGGAGTCCTTCACATGAACTCCGTCCACTCTTGTTCTCAGCTGCTGCTGAAAGAACATTTTTACTTTTTCTTATAAAGAAGCCAATAACATAATTAGATATGACTATACATATCTCAAGGACAACCTTATTCTTGCTGCATGACACAACAGAAGATACTGTAGCTGTTCAATGTATTTTTTCTACTACCAGCTGTAAAGTAAATATTAAACACAACAAGGCCTAAAGAATTCCCAGCATTAACTCCTGAATATACTTATAGGCCTGTGGATGGCCAGTGAATGGTTTACAAATGTTTGATCATGTTGTAGTTTGAGTTGAAAACTGTCATCACAAAAATGTCATTTATAAAAATATCAACATGTATGCAGTCTGCTGTGTTAATTTTTTATTTTTTTGGTTCAACAGGATATTAAGCAGGAGATTAATAGAAAGGACAACTCTCAGCACTTTATTCCAGTAGGCTGTTTTAACAAAATGAGTATAAAAATACAAAATCAGGTTACTTAAGTACTGTCATATTCAGTGTGTTCTTGGAACAGTGCAGTGTTTCAAAACTGGTACAGGCTCTTAGGGCTGCAATTGCAATTGCAATTTGAATGGTCACAAATTCCAATAACAAAATGGTTTTGTATGAATAAAACAATCATACTTTTGTCCTCTGCAAAGCACAGACATAAGATGCATTCTTGTTTTAGTTTAGCTTGCATTGATCAGTTGTATGCATTTCAATGTGCAGTTTAGCCATGGTTATTTGTCTTGTACTGTGGAAGGCTACAAGCAAAGCTAAGCACAAGAGAGTGGCAACTGGTGTATCACTTATAGAGGTAATAGAGATTTAAAATGCCATTTTAATGCTGCTTAACCAATTTAAATGTTTTGTGTATTGATAGACCATAAGAACTTAATTGTTCAAAGTCATTAATCCCGTAGTAGCTAGTTGATTTTAAATGTATTATATTACAGTTGTCTTTAATATAAAGAGCAGCATCACTTTAAGCACGTGAATGAGCGAGTGACCGCACAGCTGTACCAGATCTATGAGCTGTACTAGTGCCAAAATTGTTTTGATCTAAATTTGGTCTTCAAATATTTGCCAGATTAAAATAAGTTCCACAAAAAAGGAAAGTTACACAGTATCATATTTATTGAAATTGAGCGATCTGAAGTATCAAAAATAACAAGTGATCTATCTGCTGATCTGTCTATCATAATTTTTCTTTGATGTTTTCTGTATTTTTCCCATTCTAAACGCGTTTTCTCAGGCGGTCTGGTTAGCATCCTAAGATGACTTCATGTGGCCCTCTTCCGCTCTTTTCCTCAGATAAACCGCGACGCCTTTGGCTCGGCTCTCGGTAATCCGGTTATTTCTGTACAAATTCCGATAAATCCCTCTCCAAAACAAGTCAAAATGCTGGCTTTGGTGAAGAAACAACTGAGAAGTCACCCGGCTGTAAGTACAATTTAAGTACTTTGGCGAATTTATCTCATAAGTCTTTGATTTCACTTCTCACTATATGCAACATTTTTGTGGCTAACTAGCATAGCATCACTAGTTAGCAGTAGTGATGCTAGTTCCACTTTGACCGCACTGACATTCCCCATGTTTTCAGATGTCACTATTGTAATCATTGGAACATATGAAAAAGTTAAATCTATGCTTAAAATGTGGATACGCGGGGCTGTATTCCTGATAGTTAGGAGTTTTGAAGTCATTTGAGGACACTGGAATCTATCGGCTAAGTGCTGAGGGTCGACGCAACATTTAAGGTTAAGGTGGCTAAGTGCCAGTAGCTCAACTAGTAATGCTAGCTGTCAGCTGCGACGCATTTTCGTTACTTTATATTCTCAGTATTGGATTTAATTAACATTTTGCTATACATACATAGTTCAGTTATTATTTACTGACTTTATATCGATTTAAATGAAAATTGCACAGTTAACAAAACAAGAAGACTGCTGGACTGGTTCATAATATTTTAGCTTTTATAGCGGTTCATCACATTTGAACAGCCTCTGATATAAAGCTATTAATTTGATGGGTTAATGTTACATGTGATTAAGTATTATTATGTTTATTTGTTTTGTTTTTAATTGTGATTTTTGTTTTCCTTCCTCCAGCTCATCCCCTTGTTCATCTTCATCGGTGGTGGGACTGCCATGTCCATGATTTACCTCGCTCGCCTGGGCTTGAGGAACCCCGATGTCTGGTGATTGTCCATATCCGTATTTATGATGATGATATAAAAATATAATGTCCAAAAGCAGCATTGTAAGTTTACTATCTTTGACCTTTTATCTTATCCTCTAGCTGGGACCGCAAGAACAACCCCGAGCCCTGGAATAAACTGAGTCCAAATTACCAGTACAAGGTGTGTTTTCTTATGTTGTGATTCCCCTACCTTTGCCAAAGTTTGAGTGGATTAGTTCTGTTAGAGTTGGATCAGTTGCATGGTGTAATCTTGTTAAGGCTGACTTGTGGCAGCAAATCTGATTTCCTGTTAAAGTAATTGTAGAACATTTAACAATCTGACCATCTCATATGTTATTTTAAGATGTTTTATTAGTAATCATTGTTTTTTTGTTTGTTTTTGTTTTTATTTTAGCTTTTTGCTGTCAACATGGACTACAGCAAACTGGAGAAGAACCGCCCTGACTTCTAAACTATTCAATGATTCTGGACCAAAACTGGACTTTAAAGTTGAGCTAAAATGCATAGCTTCTAATGCAAATCCGCACAGGTTCTGAACAAACCAGGCTCAGCCGCACAAACATTTATTTAATTTAAGGTCATTTAACCTCATTGACGTCTTGTCTGATACCTCCATTTTATTTGGGAGTTTGTCAATAAAGTTAATGTTGTGACCTCTCTTAATTTCTACCATGTTTAATTTCATTTTGCCATGTACCATCATAGTTTTTACCCTTGCATGAGCCCTTCTTTGTGTTTGCAGTTGTTATCATGCTTCTGTTATGGACCTGTTCTCCTCATATCGCCCTTGCCCTGCTTTCACCCTGCTGCCAGTGAACTGTCTTCAACTATTCTATTCTTGGCCTTTGTCCAGAGCCTAATCAGTTTGACTGGGTTAATGCTTAGCTACATTATTATGTCATAACAATGACTTTTCCCTTATGGTAGTGAAACATTCAAAGATTTGTTTTCTTTTTTACATACAAAAATATCATACATAATATGTATTAAAATATAATAAAAAGGCATGGCACAAGTGTTTTGGAGGTGAGCTTGCAACAGTTAAGTGGACATACCAGTGACGTACCGTCACTGGTATGTCCCTCGCTAGCATTGCTTCATGACCTGTTGCATTCTCTAATCCAGTGATTCTCAAACAGTTTATACAATGCACCACCTACAAATGACCTTCAGAGTTCCTCCAGATCTAAACCAGATCTATACCAGGACTATGGGGTATAAAACAGGACTAAACCTCTTCTACTTCTAAATAAGGATTAATTCAAAGTTAAATTTTTTGAATTTCAGAGACTCCCACATAGCTCATGGGTTTTTTCTTTCTGTTATATGTGACATTTCACCTTAAACTGGTAATTGCTATAGTGAAAGTCCTATTTTCCTATTATTCTGAAACTCATACATTAATACATAACACTGTTTGAGAACCACTGATCTAAATCTAACATTAAAACTCACATCTGACCATTTCTACAATGCACTCCTTTTACAAAATCTGATTTCTTTGCTTTTCTTTAGACTAATGACTCTATAATTGGCAGCTTTTGTCATGCCTCCAGGACAAAGACGATGGCGATGTTTCTTCATATAGAATACAATTGCTCTCACAGAGATAGTCTTGTAAATGTCAACAGTGTGCGGCGTCCCCTGTGCTGCTCGTGGGAATGTGACAGAATGAGCAGCCGATGCAGCGCTGCAAATGTCAAGGAGACCTTCGTATTTGAATAGGAGCTCACATCTTAAACAGCCCTCTCTACAACTGGAGTACATACTTTTCTATAGTTATCACTGCAGAACTCAAAATTAAAGGTGTACTGTGTAATTGTCTGCTGGAGGGTCCATCACGTGCTTGTCTCCGTGGAGATGTGCCAAGAATGTTCCACAGTATGGCCATAAACTCCATGCAAGCCAAATAGCCAGATATTTTTGAGCAATAAATAACAGCTGTAGATGAATAAATGCAAGATAGATTAGTTTAATACATACAGTGGACAATTTAAACCAAAGTATTAACATGTTCCTCCAGAAAAGTTACACAGTGCACCATTAACTACTTCTGTTGTCACAAGCTACTGCATCAATGAGGGCTTGTGTTTCCAATTGTTTTTGAAGGCACTCCTCTGGCATTGTAGCACTGTTTTTACCACAACAAAATAACAGCATTCAGCTTGAACAATGCCCATTTTACAAAGTTTGCTGTGTAGCCTGTCATTTTCTCCACTGGGAAAAAATTGAAAGTAGTTGACCCATTGTGAGACTGGACAGCTGGTTGGAGAGGAAACACTGACATAAGAAACAGGTGCTGAAAATATATAAAGCATGGATGTTTAATAAGACATCATAATAAGGCCATGTACTACATCTGGGTTTTGGAAGCAGCCAACTCCTATCCATAACATTTGGTTTTCTGTTTTAGTAAATCAATGAAGTAGCACTACTCTGAATGTGAAAATTGTCTGTTTACAACTTAAAGGCCTTTTAGACTCTTAGACTGTTAATTATTCCCAGGGACTTTGTACCTATTTTCTGATTAAGAACAAACCTTTTCACTCACCTCTTGTTGGTTTGTAACTCTAAAACAGAAATAAAACAACTTGATAATTACTCAGATAAATGTGCACTCTTTTTTGACACTTGTTTGCATTAATAAGGGCATGTATGAAGTTATGAAACGTTGGTAGTCAGCAACATATCATGACCACTCTGAGGAAGACCACTAGTGAGCAGTCGAAACTGTCAGGTATGAAAAGAAACTACTGGTCTGAAAAAAGAACCTGATAACAGGAATTCATGCTTTTTTAAGATACTACTACTATGGAACATTTGAGGCAAAGAAATAACATCTCCATGGAGCCAAGCAAGTAGCCGACCGTCCACCATAGAAGTTGCATACTGCACTTTTACTTTTTTATTTGCATGAAAAAGAGTGAATATTTGAGACAATATCAGTTTTAAAACATTTACATTTACAAATCATACATGACGAATCCACAATGTTAACACCAGTCTCAACTAGCCTAACATAAGACAACATATGTCAAAAATAATGCTACTTTGAGTCTTGTCACATTTTATTTATGTTCCAATTTCAGACCAGGTGCCAAGCCGCCAGAGAGGGTCATTTTCTGATGGACAGCGAGGGCATCGAGAGTTTAAACCTC